GATGTGCAATCGAGACTGTGGTCACCGTTTCGGATACCTTGGCCAGTGCAGCCTGGATAAGTTGTTCGCTGGTGGAATCCAAGGCAGCCGTAGCCTCGTCGAGAATGAGTAAACACGGTTCTCGCACAAGAGCACGAGCAAGAGCAATTCGCTGCTTCTGGCCTCCACTAAGCTGATTTCCTGCTGTTCCCACATGGGTTGCGAACCCGTGAGGCAAAGCATCGATGAAGTTTAACGCATTAGCGCTGGCGGCAGCCTCCCTGACGAGTTCTACAATCTCGGCAACACAACTGTCGAAGCCGGTAAGAGCATCGTTCTCGGACATGCCTTCCCTGATCTTTACAGCAAGTTCCGAAAGGCTTTCATCGAGAATGAACGGGGCGAGCCGTTGGTGCTTCTCTGCGGATGAAGCCACCAGGCCGTACGCGATATTCTCCAGAATTGTTCGCTCCAACAGAGCGGGTTCTTGTTGAACGAAACCAATATTGCCTCGCAAATGTCGAACATTGAGATTTCGGAAACTCTTCCCTCCGATGGTCACATCGCCTGATGCAGGGTCATAGAACCGTTCTAGGAGGGAAACCACGGTTGACTTTCCACCACCAGAGGGTCCAACAATGGCGGTATGCTTCCTAGGTGGGATGACAAAACTCATTCCTCGGAGTACTGGAACGTCTGGTCGAGCCGGGTATGAAAAGTGAACTTCATTAAACTCAATGTTCTCCTCCCCGAAGGCAGTCATCTTTTCGCCGTCGTCTGCGGTCCCATCGATGGCAGAACGACGATTGATCAAGGCTAAAAGTCGCTCCGAGGCACCGGCTGCTGACGCAAAAACATGGATAAAGGGGGCGACCTGACTCAGAATGAAGGAAGCATCGATGAGAACGAAAATGACAGTGTATACAGCACCCACAGATATACCTGAGTTGTCGTGGGCAACGGAGTTCGAGATCATCTGGGAACCTTCCCAGAAAGCCAAGGCGTTGGCTGAGTATGCAACAAAGTACAAGAATCCAAGTTGTGTAGCATGCGTACCTGCCTTTTTGAGCGCATCCATTGATGATCTGGAGAGGTAAGTGGCAAACCGCTGCTCCAAGCGGTCGTTGGCATTGAAGGCATGAACCAAGGTCAGATGCGATAGACTGGACGAGGCAATTGACGTAGCGGCATTGATATTGGCTGTGATTCGGCTCGCATACTTTTTGATAAAGTGACCTCCAACAAGCGACATGAGGAGAAAGCAAGGCACCACTGATACCAGCATGCCAGCAATCTTTGGCGCCTTGATGAAAGCCACGATATAGGCGGTCACGAAGTAAGAAATGGTGGAGATCACCAGGCCCACCTTCTCCGAGGTCCCTATTTGTACTGTCTCGATGTCACTGACCAACCGGGATATCACATCGCCCGAAGGAAGTGACTCGATGAAGTTCATGTCCTGCCTAATGATACTTTCAAAGTATCGCCTGCGATAACGGCGCGCCAGACGTTCGCTCACCAAGCACCAACATGACGTATAGATATAGATGATGAAGAAGTTCGCTATGGTGATGTAAATCACATAAAGGACCTCGGTGCGTACACTGGAAGATAAAGTTGACGAAGCGTTGTCCGAGGTGGAACAAGTGGTCGAATTGAGGTTGTTGATCAGGTTACCAAATACAATTCCGAGCAGAGGAAAGGGGATCCCTCCAGCTATTCCGAATATCACGCCGCATACAACAAGGAATACGTCGAATATCGTGTAATCCAAAGAAAAAAGAAGGTGTACGTAAGCGAAGAACTGCTTCAGGTGTGCTTTGGTTGGGACTAGTCCATGGAGAGATCGCATCTAAATGCGAAAGAGAGGTTCACGCAAGTCAGTACCTGCTGCTCATCCCTCGAATGAGCGAATTGAACATGACATACCAAGCCATAGACACCATTGGAGTCTGCCCGCCCTTCAGACACTGGGTCTGGGTCTGCCATTGTAATTTATATGTGTACGCAGTCTCGGTGGGAAGCCGCAGGGCAAGGTTCGAACAGAAAAGTATGATTCCGGTTATATGACAGGCCCTGTCGCGACTTCAAATTGCAGTCGCAATGTGTCAACGAAAGAGGCGCACGGGAATCCAGGGCGCTGGTGCTCCAGAGTCCCTCAATTGGAAGGGGATGAGTCGGAATCCCCGCAAAATGATCGACCGGCAATGAGGCAAGAGTGAACCGATACACTCAGACAGACGCCCCCCAAAAAGCATTCCCGCCAATGTCGACGATATTCTATGTGAATGAATAGTTCACCAGATCTGGAGAAAGCGGAGGGAAGAAAAAGAAGGGGGTCGAGAGTTTAAAGAGAGAATGAGATCACCAAGGAAGAGAGAGAAAAGAAAAGAAAAGATAAAAAAGGAGCTAGCATAGTTCGTACAGAGCAGGAACACACTAAACTTCAAGACCCGAATTGCTCATCAGTATTGCTCCGGTTGCGGCCTTTTGAAGAGCTAAAGACTTGGGGCTGAGCTGCAGTTGACTCCATGGTGTGCTTGAGTCCAAAGGCCAGTCAGTGGAGGGGAAAGCCATGAGTAAGAGAAATCCGTTAACCCCCAAAGCATCCACCATCGGAAAAGAGGGTCCCGTTCCAGCTGGTGACTGAGCGGAGAAGATCAAACCTACGAAGGGAGAATTGTACCGAAGAAAGAGGTATGGATCGTCACTCGACAGGGAGAGAGGAGAGACGAGGCACCGGACAGTGACCCAGTAACGACCTGATTTTCGCCCAGTGGACGCATGTAAACTCAAACAAGTACGTACTAGTTAGTCCTGCAGACAATCGATCCCAATACGATGTAATGCGGGTATGAGGAATTGCAGCAAACACCGGACTGCCGTTGTAAAGTCCACGGCTTTCATTGAGAAACGGCGAGGAAGATCAATCATTGGATGCTTTTGTTCAAGACGCAGTGGAGCCAAAGTGGGAGGCCAGTTCGGCGGTTCCTGGGATCTGTGTAACACTAAGGGAAAGTACTAACCGAGGCTATACTAGTCTACGCTGGCTAGTCACCTAAAGCTTATGATCGTCTTTTAATCTAAAGAACCCACGAAAAAAGAAAATATATCGACTGGGATGTACCGAGGACGAGGGTACATTTCGAATTGTTCCGCAGCTAAACTGTCTCTTCCAACCACAACTACTACTCATAGCTGAAAGGGCAAGTGTTCATCTTCAATGGTTTATATAAAAAACAAAAGCACCAAGAAAAAAATATCAATAAATCAATTGTGTTAAAGGGTCTCTTGTGTGATATGCATGAATCAAACTCAACTGGAACTGAAAACGAGGCAACAAGCGCTAAGGATCTGGGCGTGGGACGTGGCTGGATGGATCGACATGTCGTCGAGCTCATCTGATAACTCTGTTGTTGAGGTTTGCTCCATTACCTGCAGACCCGCAGCCCAATCACCTGCCTATTCTGGTGCCGCCGCGGGAATTTTTTCTCATCTTCTGCCGTCTTCTTCCTTCTTCTCCTACCCTGCGGTGTACATCTTCATCTTCTCTCATGAACTCTCACATGAAACCTTCATAGGTCGGTCCCCCCGTATAACACCATTTTTGGGTTACTTCATAGGTCAAATCCACAAATGCAAATTGTGTATTGAATATCCACCCCCACCAGTATTATGACTCTTTCTGCCCCGCTCGGGCAGGCATGACCACTGCAAGTCTGCAATACTGTTGTGTTACGCGTTCAACGCAGACCTGAAACAAGACAGCATTCCGCTATAGCAGTCAAGTCCCGCGAACTCAATAACTATCATGTATCTATACCATAGCAATATAAGACTACAAGACACTACAATCCATTTGAATTGCACAAAACTCGCTACGCAGCGTTCCATGATTCTAGAATCAAGTAGCGTCCGTCCTATCCCAGAATAAGTAAAATACTAACCAGAACTTATCCACAATCCCACTTCTGATGGGGTTTGCCGATGGAGTAGTCCAAGTTATCAGATGGCGCGGCGTGTTCCTCCCATTTCTCACTTAAGTAACCCCCATCCATCGGGCACCACCAGTAATTTCCGCTCGTATCTCCTGACTATTTACTTTGCACACTGGTCAGTTTTCTTGTTTCTATTTCTGATTCTAGGGGGGCGGGAATATGACATAGTTCTATTCTGCTAGTGCGACTACGTACTCCGTAGTCAGCCTTGGTTCCAATTTCCTTTATCTAATCTGATCAATCAACAATTCCCCCCTGAGTCCGACTGGCAGTGTGCCCCTGCGGTTGGTGAATCTGATTAGATGCAGATCTGATTAGATAGTTCCTGCGTGCTTGACCCTCTAGGCATTCTCGCCCAGACGATCGACCAGAGTAATGTAAGGGACATGCAACAATCTGTGGTTTTGTTCAAGCATTCACTGTGATGTGTCGCCTAATCTGACGCGTAGCCGCGGATTCGCGTATCGTATTCTTACATCATATCCAACACGTCTCTACTACCGTGTTCACTTACCAACGATACGCACTTGCCCCAACGCGTGTGTAGTTGCTTCCTCTAGTAGAATCCGTCTTCGCCATTTCCTTCCCGATGAACCACTTACTACCCTGCTCATTTTATCTTCTCCCAGTCTATGCTTCTATCCATCTTACCCTTCTACATGTGGCATATACTATGGCTTGTTTGATGGCCACCAAGTGACTGGTGACTCAGTTGAGTGAATTGATCTTTCTTTTCTACTAGATTGAACTGCATGGCTAATGTTTGCAAATTCCTTCCTAGGTCGCTGGTGTGTTCCTATCATCTCCCTGGCGTGTTCTGGGGGCTTCACTCGGCACATTTGCCTGGGTACCCCTTCTCGCCTGATGGGACCCCCCACTTCCAGTGGGCGCCTACAGCCATTCTAGGCTGTATAGCTTGGGTCCCAGATACAACGGGAGGCGCTGCCGTCACTTTAACAAGTTTGCCTGCACACCGGCGTCCGCTCATGCCACACCGTGAGTCTCATGGAGACCTGCAAAGGCCTTGGTGAAACGCTTTGTGTCTTCTAAAGCATCACTTCCAGTGTGTTTCTCAACCACTTGAGTTGAGAAACAGGGTTGATGTGGCACATGAGCGAACGCCGGTTTGGCGGTAGCGCCTCCAACAAGATGAAGATAATTGTTTGGTCGTTTTCTAACAATGGCTTCCAGATTGCACTTTGATGTCAAGATGGGGACTGTAGAGCTGTCATTGTTTCTTTGCCTTCTGATTTTCCTTGGTATATTTCGTCTGTTTTTGCTTGGGCTGTTGTTTGTCTCTTTTTATGTCTTGGTTGAGAATCAACGCCATAAAGTGAAAGCCTTCTACGAGAAGATGGAGCCGAAGGCAGTAGAACTGCTAGATGTTCTAAGGAACATGAACTTGGCGATTGATGCCAAGGTCAGTCTCCTTAATTCGATGAAATCCGACATAAAGCAGAAAAATGTCCCGGGAAGCGATTGCACCGATCTGGAAACATTTAGCGCCCCGCGCTGAACAAACGCAAGTACGGGCCCTGGACATTGAAAGTGAAGAGAATAATCAAAAAACGCCTTCCAACAATGCTGTCTTCTAAACTTCATTCGACGTGGCAATGGGAAGCACCTGCATAGCTAGCATGTAAGATGGCTGAGCTTGGTTTACTTCTTGTTTTGTTTGCTTTCTGCATTTTGTTCGTCTTCCTCCTGATCAAAACCTATGCATCCAGTGTAAACGTTTGGTTTGCAAGAATGGAAACGAAGGCTAACCAAGTTGGTAGCAATCCAAGGTCATGACACCACATCTGCTTCGATCCGAATCAAAGGGGAAAGCGTTCGAGCAGAACAAGATCATGCTTGTTTCAAACCTTCCTGTGAGCACCTTTTTTCTTTCTTGCCATCCAAACTATCTCGCGCTTCTCTTTCTTCTTCATAGCATGTTTCTTCACATTCGCCCTGTTTCTGTACTCTGTTCCTCTTGCCCATTACTCTTCTAATCATGATGGAATGCAGGTTCGAAGTAACACTCAACTTTGCGAAGCTCGCTTTTGCCCTCGTGCCCTTTTTTCCCTTTGGGACACCTTTCCGTGCCACCAGTAGCTCTTGAAGAACTTGCTTTCAGCCACACTACAAACTTCTTCGAACCCTTACTTCTGTTTCCGATTCTGCGTCTGATTTTGCAATTTTAAGAAAGCCGTCGTCCAGGGTACGTTTTGACGTGACAGTGGGGACCTTGGACCTATCATTGTTTATCAGTCTACTTTATACTGGTTCTTTCGTTCTTTTGTTCTGTTTTGTGTTTATAGTCCTCTTCAAGTCAAGAGTATTTTGGAAGAAACTCAATTGTGGTTAGCTACAATAACAACCTTCCTACACTGTGGCATGCGTTGTATCATGAGCTACACAAGTTTGAGGCATTCGAAGCGTTCTGGGCTCGGGCTATATTTCTTGCTTTCAAATGATAACGCATCTGCATATCCAAGCCTGAATAAAACACCCATAAAAGACTGACTGCATCTGAAGCGATAAGAGACGTGTTGTCAATATCAACCAAATATATTAAAACTGACTAGGAATGCCAGCTCTGCACTTGCGACGGTAACATCAACACTGGTTTTAGACGGGATAGGATCCTGTCAATACATACTTCGCAAAACACGACGAAGAGGTGTCGTCAAGGCCGCTCACCATCCGGCAAAGAACTGAGATCCGAGCACTGCGGCCCACAACGCACATCCTTTATGGGTTTGTTCTTAGGGAGCCCTGGGGGGAGGGGGAACAAGCAAGCAATGTTTTCCAGAGTTGTTATCGGTTTGTGGGAGTCCGTAGAAACTTGGAAGACTTTGTGGATTGTTAAGTACAAGGGAGATGCTGTAGAGAAGGAGGGAAGAGAGGAGGGCTCGTTCTCCGGTGCGCCAGGAGGTATTTGAGGGGTAGATCAGACAATCCAATAATCAAGGAAAACATCACGACTGAAGCAAGGTGATATAGGAGCAAGACGCGGGGGGGGGGTGAAGAAAATTTGCAGGAAGCCTGAGGAGTTGTAGAGATATGAGCCGCGAGACGGTGCATATTTGGATGAAGGAACATGAACAGGCTTTTTAGAGACACGGGCAAGGTCTCCCCAATAGTTCCACTAGAAATGGGGCACTAGAAGCGGATGCATGGGGATAGATGTTGAAGACGCTGGGTTACGTCCAACACTGGTGGGATACTATGAAGACCTTGGGCTCAAGCCTCAAGGCGGAGTCATCTCCAAGAGAATCTGACGCTTAGTCTCATCCCTTGGGGAGATGAGTGCGCAACTCAGCATTTGCACAATGCACAATGATATCCACCAGAGATAGTAATATGATTCATTGAGTCCTATCAATAACGGATTGGTTCCTAACAATAACGGATTGCCTCTAACAATAACGATGCTGACAAGAATGATGCTAATAATAGCGATGCTAATAATACAACACAGGGTACGCCTCAGTCACAACTGCTCCATAGCAATGAAATATAGAAGTAAGTTCCGAGTGTTCTCAGAGACCTGACCAATGATTTTCCAAAATTTCTCATCATCGGCAGTCATTGTATGCAAGTGTACACACAGCTGAGTCACTTTTTGCCGGATGTTCGCTTGCTCTGATGTTATAAACTTGCTAGCAAGATCACCCAGCCTCTCCAGGACATCCATAGGGAAGCGAGCTGCACGAGAGGTCATCTGGCGCAGGATATCCGTAAGAATGTTGAACACCATAAGAATGGCACGGTCGTTAAGCGACGCTTCCTCCGCAGAGACAACGTCCACAACAGCCTTAACAATGTCCCCAAACTCTACCGCGCTCACCATTTCCTCCGCGGTCTCATTTAAAACGATCGCCATATAGCAAGTAGTGTCGTAGTTTTTCCTGGCTCTGATGATGGACTTGATTATACGGGATGCATATTCCCCCAACGACATCGTGGACCCACCATTGTCCACAAGTCGTTTCATGTGTCTGAATGTGTAACGCACTGTTATAAGCACCTGCGCTTTAGGGTCAAGCGGGCGCCCGAAGTATTGCTGCTTTTCGTCTGGTGCTCTCTCGAGTTCGCCCAAGAGGGCATCTAGGAGCTCGGAGTACTGTTCTTCGTCGTCAAAAAGCCTATCGTGAAATTCAACTAGCCCCTGCAACTTGTGGTACCCATGAATGTCCATACTCTTAGAGTGAATCCTGGGGATTCCCTTCTCAAGAGTCTGTCTCGCTTTCATTGGGTCCTTGGAGCGGGGACTAATGCTTCGACGTCTCTCCTCGAAGCGTTTTTGTGCTGCCTCGAACTTAGGACAGCGATGCGTCGCCGTGTCGTTACTCGGTCCGGTAGAGGGACGTGTGCGCGGCACATGTAACGAAGGAAGACGTGGCATAGATGTCTGTGGTGACCTATTGTCACGATGGTCTGGCTCATTTTTCGATAGTTCCTCTAGAGCATTGTTTTTCGGTGCATCGCGAGGAACTGACGGAGTGGTAGGTGGTTTTGTCTCTTTCGGGACAGAGTTTTCATTGCCCTTCGCAATAGGGGACGATGGTTTGGGCAAAGGGATCTCGCGCAGTCTCAGAGGGTCTGTCACTACGATAGGATGGTGTACAACAGTGGAAGTTATGCTGACATTCCGCTCTGCGGCTTCATCCGCAATTTCATCGTTCTTTTCCTTCGTGTCTTCGTAAATGACGACCTGATTTGTCGCCTTCTCTACAGGTTCCTTCTGATCTGGCGTGGCCGGGCGCGCCGGCTCAAGCCGTCGGCTCTTCCCCATGGGCCGCATGGGTGCGGAGGACAAAGATGAGACCTGAGGAGCCGACTCAGGCCGTGGGGTCATAGCAGTTTTGGGTGCAAGGTGTGCTTTCTTCTGCGCTGCGATCGCCTGTTTCAATGCACTTCTTCCCGGAATAACGTTGGTGCTGCTTGTAGGGGCTTTTTGAGATGTTGTGGAAGATTTCGAAGCCTGTCGGTCTGCAGTTTGCATGTTGCCAGCAGCCGGGTTAGCAGGATCTTTCTCCAATAGCGACCGTGACTTGGAGTCAAGGTCCGACATGATACTGTAGTCCGTTAGCCAATATATTCACCAAGGTCACAGAACAGCATGAAAGTGGAAACTCACAATTTGGCTTTCTGAGGCCAGACGCTGTGGTATATCCAGAAAGTCTTCCTCATTGCCTCACGAACACCAGGATTAGCATCACCAAGTCCTTTCTTCAGACTTCTCTCGATGAGCTCGGTTCCACCGCCGTGTTCAATGGAGGACTTGTGACCAGCCTGTTTATTGATGAGAGTGATGTACCATCCAGCTGAGAACAGACGCAACTGGACGTTTTTGTCTTGGGAAGCGGCGTAGACATGCTGGAGGATTCGAGGAGTGTAAGACACGTTTCCAATAACAATGTCAACGGTCAGATTCCCATTTTCGGCCGTTATTTTCTTCATACCGGCGCAGAGTTTGATGAGATTTTGCAGGATGATCTCCATCATCGGATCGATTCTAGGGCCACACTTTCGGGCGAGATCTTGAATGAGCAGACATCCGTTTGTTCCCATAGTAGTTCGTAGAGAGTTCACGACTTTGAAAATGCCATCCAAAATCGACTTGATAGCAGCGACAAAAGTCTGAGAGTATGCATGGGGCGCATTACCATGCGTAAGTCGGCGTAAAGTAATGACACTCTTTTCACGATGCACCCAGTTATCTTCGGACTCACGTCCTTCGAAATATGGTGTCATTAGACGCACGAATTCATCAATTTCCCGAGCGGATGAAACAATGATTGGTTCCACATCGGAAGGAGTAGGCTCTACTGGCCGTGTGCCGAACTGACTAGCCGGTCTGATGAGACTGTCTTGAGTGACGGTGTCGACGCGAGAGGCCGGTCTCTGATCATTTCGCAAAATTGGTTTCTGGTCAGCACGCGAGGCTGGTCTCTGGTCAATTCGCAAGGTTGATTTCTGGTCAGCACGCGAGGCTGGTCTCTGGTCAACACGCGAGGCCGGTCTCTGCTCAATACGTGAGGCCGTTTTCTGCTCAACACGCGAGACTGCTTTCTGCTCAACACGCGAGATCGGTCCTTGTTCAATTCGCAAGGTCGGTCTCTGATCAACACGTGAGGCTGGTCTCTGGTCAACACGCGAGGCCGGTCTCTGATCAACACGTGAGGCTGGTCTCTGATCAACACGTGAGACCGGTCTCTGGTCAATACGCGAGGCCGGTCGTGAAAGATGATCAGATTCATCAGATTCAAGGCCAAGATTCGTCAGAATGATGCTGACAATAGACTTTCTGATATTGAGTTCACTCAGTTGCTTTTTAAGATCTGCCTTCGCATGTGCGGGTGCATTTCTAAGTCAGGTTAGCGGCAGAGGCTCAAAGAGAAGACCCACGAAACTTACTGGAACAGCTCGATAATGGTTGCCTTGGCTGTATCTCTGACAGCACTATCGGCGTCCTCGAGACATGCCACAAGACTAGGGACATACGGACGGAAGAGCAAGCCATATTGCTTAGCCATCTGCCAGCGGAGTTCGGTCAGCTTTGCTCAGGATCAATAGGAGTGAGACTTACGTTTGCTAGCCAGATCATGCTCATTTCCCTAGCTCTGTTGTTTTTTCCGATAAGGGCCGTTCCCAGCACATGTTGTTCAACTTCATGGCTAGCTGCCGGCCAAAAGTCAGTGAACGCTTGGGCCGCCTGTGCTCTGACTCGCTCCTTATGATCGCCCAAGCGTTCCAAGAGCAACGGGTAAATGTTGCGAGCCTGTGAAGCAACTATACTATGCTGTTCCTGAATGAACAGTCGTTTCAAGAAGTGACCCATGGTGGAGAAACCAGCAGAGAGAAGTGTCGAGTGGGGAGAGGAAATTGACTGACGCAACGCATCAAAGATCGGTGCAATGGCGTTTTCCGGCACATTCTTCTGCTTGATATCGGATTTCATGGAATTCAGAAGACTGACCTTGGCATCTATGGCCAGGTTCAGATTCTTCAATGATGCTAATAACTCAGTAGCTTTTGATTCCATTTTTGCGAACCAGTTTTTCACACTGGAAGCATATGCTTCGATTAGAAGGAAAACAGACAGAAAGCAAAAAGCAAACAAGATCAACCAATAAACACCGAACAACGCAAGAAAGACGAGCACAAAGCTCAGCTCAGCCGTGCCGAGGGTAACTTCAAACCTGAACTTCATCGTTAGAATCAGTACTCAAAGTGACAAAAGACAGCTCAGAAGAATGGTAAACAGAACAACAGAACAGAACAAAAACAATTTTTTTGGTGATTGATTCTTCGTTTTCTTTCTGACAACAGAACAGAACAACAAAACAATTTTTTGGTGTTTTTTAGGTACTTTGTAAGTTTTTTGACAAGGAAGAGGCAACAGGAGCAAGCAAGAAGTAACAGGAGCAAGCAAGTATGTTATTGGAGAGTGGTGTGTGGTTACGATTATGCGGTATATGAGAGGGTAGTAGAGAAAGAAGAAGAGAAGAGAAGAGGGGGGAGATCGGGGGGAGTCCATAAACCAACAACAACATGATGGCGCTGAGGAAAGTGCACATACCTGCTATATTGGGTAGTCGCGATGAGAAGGATGACGGAGAAGGCGAATGGGGGAGGCAGGCAGGGAGGGAGGGAGGGAGTTGTTACAATATGAGCTCTGATCTGGAAGGAGAAGGAGGATGAGGTAGCGACGAGGGTTGCAAAGTGACGCAGTGACGGGGAAACTTCTCAGCGCTTATCGCCGCGCCTGTTTCGCTTATCGGGCCGACGCGACTCCACCAGACTGGTTCACTTCAAAGGATGACAGCGAGGCGATCGGTATGTAGGGGTATATATCAAAGTGCAGAGTGTTACAGAATAGTAATGCATGGAAAGATGTGGGTGGTTTGGTTTCGTTGGATGATCGCAAAAATGAGGGGTGGTCGATGATCGGGCGGCGCGCTGTCCCTGAATCTTCTTTTTTTTATTTGGTTTTTTTCTCTTCGCTTTGTTTACCCGCAATGATTCACCCCGTTTTGGGTAAACAAGTGGGGGGAACTGGAACTTTTTCGTCTGCAGCCACGAATTGATTGTTGTTATGGCAGCTGCCCAACTGTTATTGACGAACTGGAGTTCTGCTATAAGTAGAATTATCATTGTTCTGAGTCTCGTTAATACTTATTATGATTGTATTTTATTTTCTCCCCCCTTTTTATTTCTTCTTCTTCATCTGCCCTGATTCTTGGTTCTCCGCTGCACTACGCGTAGTATTACTAGTAGTATCTCTCTCATCTACCCCTATTTTCCTTTCTCCCCTTGTTTTATTAGCGGAAGGTGTGGGTGACCTCTTAACTAAAGGTGGACCGTGGGGATAGATTCAGTTACGGATGCAGTCTTATCGATAGTTAACTCCACGGCCAAGACAGTTCTCCGACCTCGCATACATGATACTAGTACGTTCTATTAGATTCGAGAATAGCAGTAGACTATTCTTTATGACTGGTAATTTGAAATATCACATCAGATTCGGAGTAAAAGGCGCGTTGGACAGTGATTGCTTTACGCGACCGAGCCTGAAATTGCGCCGACGTGTTCCTTTTGCTCTTTTCCTCCCCCCCCTGAAAATATATAATCACAACTACTAGTAGTAGTAATAGTAAACACCCGCAGCCCGAGCAACCAAACACTGAAGGTGAGTCATCAACTGAATGATTACTGTACCATTACTACTCACCACTACTAGACCGCCCAATACTACAGATAGCCTTGAGACCACATTATCGATACAATCCAGCAGAATGAACAATATTAAATAGGTTAAATCCTGCTTTTGAAACTAATCACATACCACAGCCAGTCACACTGCAAGTGGATTTAAATTAGACTGCAGTAACTCCACTCGATCGCCGCGCCGCGCGGTGGATCACTCCAAAAAAGACGGCGGGCACTTGGACCAGCCTCGGTGTGTCACAGTGCGCGCGCGCAAGCGCGATGCAACAAGCGAACCTGACAGTCAGTGGAGGGGCTTGCTCGCGTCAAGCATCGATTGATCAACTTTAATTCGGGTTCCTTCACCACGATGAAGTGTCCATAGTCTGGTCTGCGCTTGATTGGGTGGGCTTCCGCGACCCCTGCGGCGGCTATGCTGCATGCGCTACTGACTAGACAACGCCATGCTTCAAGCCTTCAACCTTGCTATAAGCGACGTAGTAATCCTCCGTTTGAGATTATTTCTACTACATTTCTATCTCCTCTTAATCCTATAGATAAATTATATACTACTACTAGTTATACAACACCCATTGAACAATGTTAACCTCCACACCCCAAGCTACACCCTCACCACTTCCACCGCAACAACCACCACCACCTTCATCTTCACCACCCAGCTCCAACCCATCTCCCCCTCAAGATCAGCCTACTATCCCCCAACCCACCCTCCGCCTCCAAATCAACGACCTCCGCCACCCAGCCTCAAAGACCTTCCTAACCCTCCTCCCGGACCTAACCTCCACACTCACCACCGCCCTCTCAACCATAATCGAGCACCTATACACCCCTCCCCAACAGGAACAACCAACATTCCACCCCACCCCACCCCCAACCCGCTCCATAACGCTCCTCCTCCGCGCCATCTCCGGCGTAGCCTACACAACCGGCACCGAGCTAGACAACGACCACAAAGAAATCCACCTATCGCTATCCTACATCGAAACCATCACCACCAATGGCAACAATCCCAACCCTACCGCCGAACTAACCGGCGTCCTCACCCACGAACTCGTCCACTGCTACCAGCACACCGCGCCCCCAGATTCTCCTCCTAAGACCCCCCACCCTCCCGGCGGCCTCATCGAAGGAATCGCGGACTTTGCGCGCCTTAAAGCGGGCCTGGAACCGCCGCATTGGAAGCGGCCCGCGTCGGCGAAGGAGAGAGCGGACAAGTGGGATGAAGGATATCAGCATACGGCGTACTTTTTGGCTTGGTTGGAGGATGTTAAGGTGGGTAAGGGGGCTGTCGGGATGTTGAATGATCGGTTGTTGAGGGTGGGTTATGCGGATGGGTTCTGGGAGGGGCTGTTTGGCTTGGGGGTTTTGGAGCTTTGGGAGGAGTATGGGGTGTGGTTGGATGGGGGTGGTGGTACTGGCACTGTTACTACTAGTGGTGGTGGGTGTTGGGAGGATGAGATTGTTGATCGGGTGTAATGGGTATCATTATTACTAGTACTGCTGGTAGTGCTTTGGTGTAGGCTGAGTTATGGTGTGGGATGGTGATGGTTGAATGGCGTCAGGGTCTTTCCAGGAAGGGTATTTACTACCTATTAGGTGCTGTTGACGGTGCCATGCTTGTCCGTTGTGCGCAAGGTCCATTGATTCAGTAAAGTACATACCTCTATATACGTACTTCTCGTCTAGAGTAACTGTCTGTAAACAGCGTCATCCCAAGTCCATCTCTAGCCAGTCTTCACAGATGCAATACAAAAGAATAGCGTTTTAAATCGGATAACATGAACATAGAAATAACATCAAGAAAAAGAAAGATAGATTTCCCATATTGTACAAATCCTTGCCATGGTGAATAGATGAGGGGGTAGCAGTATGTAATGTTGCATCGCTGTCAATCCCGCATTGACAACATCTATAACAGATATAATGTGTGACGCCGTTTCTTCAAATCTCTCATGCTCACTCCTACACAATCACCTCGCCCAAGTCCACGTGCACCGGCTTCCAGGGAGCGGCTCCCTCTTCCTCCATCGAACTAGGCACACGCACGTTCAGCGGACTGTACAGGTACCATCCCTTCAGGGCGGCGACGGCAGCCCTGGAACGAGCCTCGAGCAGACTGGCGCCAGCGCCCTCGCCCAACTTATCCTGACCAGAGTAGATGCCAACGACGAACACGGGGTGTCGGCTCTTGCGACCGGTTTCACTGATGATCCGGGCAACGGGCTGCTCGAAGTTCTCCCGAGCACACAGGCGGGCAAGATCCCGAGCGGGTTGGGAGAAGTTGAACAGGTCGGAGATGTTGAGGTGACGAGAGAGGAAGTGCTGCTCAAAGAATCGCTTGGCAGCAGGGCGGCCTGCGTGCAGGTAGATAGCACCCATAACAGCACGCACAAAGGTTGCGTTAGCCTGTTCGGCGGTCACGCCCTGGGTGTTCTGGGCGTCCTGCTTAGACTGTTCCGAGGGATCCTTGGGCCCCTTGACTGGATCTCCGAACTCATTGTCGTAGACAACACTTGATGTGATCGACTTCCGCCAATGTGTCTGATCTTCGTGAGGTCTTGCCGTGCCAGTGACAGGCTTCGAGTGCACATCGACTCCCGGGAGGACTCTGTTGAACTGCAGGTAGCCGGGGTCAACTTCTCCACCAGGAGCAGCAGCGGACTCCACACCCCATTCTCTCGCCATTGCGGCCAATGTCTTGGGCCCGACATACGCATACATGGCTGCGAATATAACGGTCAAGGGGAGTCGGGGATACGTGCAGATGAGGTATTCGGAGGTGTAGTGTGTCAACAAATCGTGACCAAGGGTGGCCAGAGACTCATTGTTGAATTTGGGATTGGGATCAGCCGAGGCGTCCACGAGAGAGCGAGCCAGGGTCTCGAGGGGTAATCGTGACGGAAGGTAAAGTCGTGCGTGAAGCGCAGCCAGTTTGGCGGACTCGCGTGCGGCCTCGACCGGGGGAGACGGGAGTTGGTACTTCGACTGTCGGGAGGTAGGGGGGCGAATAGATGATGCTAGAGGGTCTTCCTCGAGCAATTGATCATTGGCAGCCGGCGCAGCAGGCGAAGCGGTCGATTGATGCCGGATGCCAGTGTAGAGACGGTGCTGCAGGCGGCCACCAGTCCGGGCCTGCGCCGAAAGGACCGAACTGCTCCATCGTTGGAGCTGCAGCCTCTTCATCTGGGCAACTGTGTGGGTGTTGGGCCGTAAATTAGAAAAAGACCGAATTCAATTGTAATGACCGCCCGGGGACGTGGCGTGGAGTGTTCAAGACGGGGGCAGATCCAACTTGAGCCGGCACGAACTTTTGGTCGGTAGAGAAAAGTCGAGCTTCGGAGAAAGTCACGGGGTCTGGCGGTCGTGTGAGAATCGGCCAGGTGGCGCTAAACCAAATACGGATATAGCGTCACGGGGTCTGGGACGAGGGACGAACGACGGCCATTTCGGCTTCCAACCCGCTCAGAATAACGACGAGCTTCTCAGCGAGCCATTGTCCACGTCTTTTCCCTACGTTCATTCTAGATACCCTCAATACACCATGGGTGGAGGCGGCAAGATCCCGTATGCGACTCTTCTCCCACCTGGGACCTCCATTGCATCTGAGATTGACTGAATTCTTTCCGCAGGTATCCCAAGGAAGTCTGGTCTCCCGCGGGTGGCTGGTACGCTCAGCCCGCAAACTGGAGGGTCAACACGGCCATCATTGGCGCCGCTGTCCTTGGAGTTGTCGCTGTGACCTGGAGCATTAGTGCCGACCGTGAGCACCGTGACAAGATGCCCGAACCCGGCAGATTCTTCCCCAGTCGCTAGTCAGTCCCCTCAGCCAATCTCGTGTCATGTGTTTCTAAGCAGCAGTCATTGACTTTATATTGCTTCTATCTAGCTGGAGCCGGGAAATCAGAGAACACGAAAAGCAGCTGGCCGCCCAGAACCGGTCATAGAGCGGCAACAGGATGAAGAGGTAGTTGTGGGAAAATGAGTACCTGTGGTGGTTTTCTATGGCATGCCAGGTTTTGTTTCATAATTTTTGTGGGCTGTACGACAATAGAAGGGCGTTCTTCCATACGGTCAGTTGATCTGAAAGTGCTTCTGAGGAGACTCTTCCAATGTTCGATACAAGCGCTGTGTGTACAGACGGACCCGTTCCGTGAACTCAGTCTCGTTCCAAAGCTCCTTTCCATCACTGGATGTAGACATGCGAGGCACTCCAATCTGCTCCACCACGAAGCTGGCCGCCACAGTAGCAAAAATCAAGGCCGTCAAGACCTGGCTATGCTGTGCAGCAGCTTGCACTGCTTCCTGCCATGCTGTAGATCCTGCGAGGACCGAGTCGACAAGATTGGCTGGTTTTCTGCCTGCACTGACCATGCCCTGTGTCAGGGCACCCAGAAAAGAATTGCCCGCGCCAGTGGGGTCAACTACCGCCGACGCCCCTGAAGCACTGGGCTGATGGTAGGCGGGCAGCCAGACCCTCTGGGATCTAGAGTAAGAGTAGCTGCCGTCTTTACCGGCTCTGATAACCAAATGCCCGTTCCCATCAGGACCAATACCTGACTCAAGGATCTTCTTAACAATGCTCTTCCCATAGTCGGTGTCCTCGCTCCAACCAGGCTGACCAAACATCATTCCGAGTTCCAGTTCGTTGGGGCTCACAACATCTACAACTTGGTTTGCCGCAAGGAACCGTTCTTGCTCTTCTGGCGTGCATAGATCCGGCACAGGTTCCCAAACGAAAATAGGTCTTTTCGCAGCGTGCTCCACTGGAGGAGCTTTGCCTGCTCGCTGTAGCTCCTCCCGTCTGCGCAAGATTATTTGTACAATTGAAATACAACGCGAGGAGGAGCAGACCATGTGGAAGGTCTTGGAGAACACCTGAGCATCAGACAGCATTTCTGGTTCCAGGCGCAACTTTGGGGTCAGGTATTTGAAGTCTGCGACAAGTTAGTATTTGTGTCGTTATAGCTGCAGATTCTAAGGATGGATACCGACCTCGCTTCTCATTCGGACCGTAACCATTCCAGGCCCTCGTTGTCAAACGACTTTGGTCCTCCCGGAATACACAGTTTGTATCCCACGACTTGAGCAGATCGAGAACATCTGGAGGGAAGTCGGAGCCAACATCCACAATCCAGCTCACAGCCTGCGAATGTTCTCTTCCGGTCACCAAGCGGGCACCAACGACGGCAAAGGATGCTGCGCCTCCTAGGACATTTTTTACATTGGGTCTTGATCCATCGAAGTCTATATCGTCTATATCACAGGAAAGGGGGGTTCCGTAAGTACATAGTGCGATTTCGACTGCGAATGGGTAGATCATGGCGTACCAAGAATGAACATGCCCATTGTGCAGAAGTCCACATTGTCTCTAGAGTGCTCCGAGGAGCCATGGCCTTCCAACATGGTTACGAAAGCGCTCAATTTCCCTTGAAGGGAGAAAGACTGGTGAGATATTGTACTCTGGCGGGGTTCGAGGGATTCAATCCAATCCGCCGCTTTGAGTCTCCGTCATGGCGGCCTTATCGGATTACCGGCTGATACCACCAACGTCATGGGAGACGGGCGGATAACAGCCACGCTGGCGTACCGTATGGTATGACCCACTATCAGGAGCTCCAGGCCTCAGGCACGGGTCAGGAGCATCGCCGTCTCCATGCAATTCCAACGGCTGCCTTGATCCTCTCCCTCCTCAGCATCTTCTTTTTACTGCCTACAGGTCGCTACTGACCCTTCTTCTATCTCTCAATTGTGGCACACGGTAGCCCGTGCCCCTTAATAGCTCTCTTTGTCCTCCATCACTCCGACAGTCATCAATAGCTCCCTCCCTCCTTACTTCGACAGGGGCCGTCAAGATGGCGACAGGAAGCCACATGCATAATCTCACCACCCTTATCAAGCGGTAAGCCTTGAATCAGATGCGCTTGGAATTTCAACGCTGTGCTCTCTTCTGTTCTTTTATATATCCCTCTATCAGTACCATATGCGTCCGATTACATGTGTTTCTAACCAGCTGGAAATGCCAACAGGTTGGAAGCCGCGACCTCCCGCTTGGAGGATATGGCTATGTCACTGGAGGATCCCAACTCGCCCAAGACCATAGCCCCCCCTGCTGTGCCTGAAGCTGCTACTCCTCAGCCTCCCAAGTCAGCTCCCGCTGCGGCTCCCGCGCCGCCTCATATCCCGCCGCAAATCCAGGACTTTGACACCCTGATTAACGAGGATGTCCGAAACTTTGTGGAACTGGGCCAGAAGATCAATGGCTTGGTCGGAGAACAGGTAAGAGAGAAAGCGCATGTTCTGCTGAGTGCATCGCTTACAATTTCCGCAGTCCAAGGTAGTCCTTCAAGCCTTCGAAGCCGAGCGCACCTACCTTCTTGTGTCCACGAAAGCTAGAAAGCCCGAGCAGCAGCCCCCGGAGCTCATGACGGGCCTCCACAATGCTTCGGACAGCATCAACAACATTCGCGAGTCGAACAGAGCTTCTCCTCTCTTCAACCACTTCAGCGCAGTCGCGGAGGGTATTGTTGCCCTGGGCTGGTTCTTCGCAGACAAGCCCGCCGATTTTGTCACTGAGATGGCTGGAGGTGTTGAATACTACGGAAACAAGGTCCTGAAGGAATACAAGGAGAAGTGCGCCGCCTAAACAACCTTTGTAATCCCAAATGAAGCTGACCCATGTTGCAGGGACCGTACCCACGTCCAGTACATCCAGGCCTACTACCAGATCTACAAGTCCCTCGCCGCATACCTGAAGAAGCACTACCCTAAGGGCCTGACCTGGAACGACAAGGATGGAATCGATGCTCAAGAAGCTCTTAGACAGGTCAAGGCCGGTAGCTCTGGCCCTGCCGCCGGCGGTGCTGCTCCTCCTCCCCCGCCACCCCCTCCAGTTCCGACTCTGAACGTTCCTGGCGGTGTTCCTCCCCCTCCTCCCCCGCCGCCCGGCGTTCCTCCTCCGCCTGCAGCAGCCCCAGCTGCACCAGACATGTCAGCTGTCTTCGACCAGCTGAACCAAGGTGAATCCGTCACCGCTGGTCTTCGGAAGGTCGACAAATCCCAGATGACGCACAAGAACCCCAACCTTCGCGCCAGCTCCATCGTTCCCGATAGCCCAACCTCCGGAGGCAGCGCTGTTCGGGGCAAGTCGCCCGCGCCGAGCAAGAAACCCAAGCCGGAGAGCATGCGCGCTCGCAAGCCGCCGCGCAAGGATCTGGAGGGCAGCAAATGGTTCGTCGAGAACTTCGACAACCCCGGCGAGATCGTTGAGATCAACGCGCAGCAGAACCACTCTATTCTCATCTCGCGCTGCAACAAGACTATCATCAAGATCAACAACAAGGCCAACGCCATCTCCATCGACAACTGCACCGGCCTCTCCCTCATCGTCGACTCGCTCGTCAGCAGCCTTGACGTCATCAAGTCCCCCAAGTTCGCCCTCCAAATAGACGGTGTCGTCCCCACCCTCCTCCTGGACCAGGTCGATGGCGCTACCGTCTACCTGGGCCAGCAGAGCCTGGCCACCGAGGTCTTCTCCAGCAAGTGCACTGCAGTCAACATCATGCTCCCCCCTAAGGAGGGAACCGACGAGGATACCAAGGAGTGCCCCATTCCCGAGCAGATCAAGACATACGTGAAGAACGGCGTTCTGGTCAACGAGATCGTTGAGCACGCTGGTTAGATTTGCCTAGTGGATAAAGACTGCATATACATGTAGAATTTTGGATATTACTTACCCCCCCCCCATCTCCGACAACAACAACAACCACAACCACAACGTATTACTACCCTTACCACCCAAAATGGAGGCGATAATATGCGGCAGTTGGAAACCAACTTCTTGGAACTTCAGTGCTGTGTTTTATTCTACTCAATCTCTGTAGATAAAATCTATTTTTCCATTCAATCTTATCTTCCGCTATTACTATGTAGGACGTGTGGAGGACGTGTATAGAAACAGGAAGAGCCTCAGGTGTCCCTTCCCCTTTCCCCACTCCATCCACCCCCAGCATATATGAACTACACAGTACTTGAAGGGATAATAAGAGACGTAGAAGAGGAGATAATCCAATTACCGCACATCAAACCTACAGTAACTATGTGACACATATGTTATATAACATCCACAAGCGTAGTGCAGACTGAATCAAGACGAAAAAGAAAGTAAAAACAGAAATTGTTTCCGTATCAGGTGTTCCACCCCCAACCCCAACCCCAAAAACAATTACAAGACTGTATGACACTGCTATTTCCAATAATAGAATAGAACAAAGAGGGAGATTATTGCTGCTGAACGCACAGTCCGCATCGGTTGTTTAACTAGTGTTCGATCGACATCAAGAAGAATTGAAGGTATCGGCTAAAGAAGAGAGATAAAGGGAGGAAAGGCTTGTTCAAAATATCTAAAAGTAGTGGAATATGTAAAGAAGAGAGAAAGATAACATGTTGAGGTGGGTATATTTGCTAGTTCCCGTACTGTAATGGTTGTCCTGTGCGCCTTGCCGTGCGTATTTATTTTCAGGGAAACGGCAGGATAGTCAATTATAATGAATGAGATGATCCTGCATCTGCGCTTAAGAGGTATAGTGCTGTGCTGTTAGCTGAGGAAGACGTGGGGTTGTCCCGCTGTGCTGTGTCGGCCTTCTTGAGGAGAAGGTTGAATACTTGAACGAGGTGTATCAAAGAAATGAAGAAGAAAAAGCAGAAATGGAAAAAAAAAAAAAAAAAAAAAAGAGGTTACCATCACGATACGGTCAAGTCATGCTGGTTAGAAGCGTGCCGGCGTTATTCACAGGACTTTTGGGGGTCAGGAGAGTCGTGCTTGTGCACGTCCAAACCCCTCAGCTTCCTGGCAAGGAGGCTGTCACCAGCTTCGGAACCGTTGAAAGCGAACGGATACCCGCCGTAGCCGATATCACCCTTACCGAGTTTACCATAGAGCCCACGCTCCGTATGACACTGTTCCGCAAAACTTGAGTCGAGTTTGGGCCCTGGAGACAGTGACGGAATAGGCCGGAAAGGATGCGAGGAAGGCTGGGGAGGACTGAAGAGGCTGGAGAAGGTGCCTCGCGGGGCACCTTCTCGGTCTGCAAGTGTACGGTCTGAGAACGGGTCCTCTTGAGCACACGTGGAGGAGCTCCCGGGGTAGGGGGGCTCTCGTGAGGTCATAGCCCCCGATGGACTCAGCATCGATGACTCTCGATCAGTGGGTGCTTTGTGTGGCATCTGGTCTGTTGGTGGCCGTGCAGCTGCGTGTGTATGACTGGAGTCCCGCGAGGGTTTGTAAGGCGTGTAACGGGGATCAGGGCATTGAATTTCATTGCGAAGCTTTTCCTTACCGTCGGGAACTCTGTTGGCAAATACAACACGAATGCTAGAGTGAAGATAGAATCGGCCCCGAGAAGGACAACATATGTTTAGATGGATCAAGTACCGTAGAGTTGGCTTGTCTTTGGGATCCTCCGAAGCGTTTAGCGACGCTTCAGGACGATCGGTTCCATAGTTCTTTCGAGCGCTCAAAGGCATATCAATGATGGGACCCACCGAATAGCTTCGTTGTCGGATGAATGTCTTTGTCCCCGGCTCCATATCGCTGAGGTCATAGGGCACGAGGAACAGCTTCACCGCTGTTTTGTTGGGGTTCTTGATCATGATCTGCAACTGACCGTGTTGTGGGATTCGGTAACAACCACCCGGTGGACTTTTGGGTGATTCCGCCCTCCTATGCCTTTTCTCGCGCCTGCGCAAAGTTTCCTGATCGGTTGACTTAGGTTCTGTGGTATTTCCCATGACACAGTCATTGTGTGTTCCTGCAGGGCTCTGATGGCGCCTGCGACGTCGACTGCTACCACTGGACGTGTCCCGAGGAAGGAAATTGTCCAAGTCTATCAGGCCAACATAAGGGCTGGGGCTATCGTCCGCGATTGAGCGGCCACTGCCTGATGTAGGGTAGCTGTAAAACACCGCCGGGAATGGGATTGTCACGTGCGGTGGGCATTTGAGGTTGGCTTTGCATTTGCCTTTACCCAGGACGCCAATTTGCGCGGTGAAGTCCAAGGGCTTGGAAGGGCTCATTGACATTCTTCCACGGAGGATAGACTCCTCGTATGAGCCAACCATGGGCGCATGTGCTCTGGAAGAGACTTCTGAGCCCACTGAGGGCCTTCGGACCCTCGTGATCGGAGTTTGGACCGAGGATGCAAGCTGAAGACTGTATGTTGAAGTCAGGGACCGCCGAGGGGAGTGAAGATGATAAGATGTTGTCGTGTCCCATGGTGTGCGATGAGCATCAGCCTGGAAGTAGATCCCCTCTGCATGGCCCCCATGCGATGCCTGCAAGTGCTGGAATGTTTCCGGGGGAAGGGTACGGCGACGACTGACTTTGTCGACGGCGTCCGAATGACCAACGTACTCCGGCCGAGGAGAGAAGTCCAGGTCTGTATTATTTGCCTGGTGAACGAGAGGGCTCGTCGGGGCTTTCAATATGTAGCTCGAAGAGAACGAGCCGAGAGAGGGAGCCCGGGAACGGGCTGCCGGGGTTGCTGTCTGAACTGAGAGAGATTGGCCTCGTAAAGAGGCAGGGAAAACGGGAGTACTGAACCAAGGCGTCGTCGGGGAGGAACTCAGTAGTGGAGGAAAATGTGCGTTGACGGTGCGACCAGGCACCGGGGATGACGGGGCGTGTTGCTGGCTCTGGACTTGAGAGCTTCCTTCCCTAAAGTCTCCTGAATGCAAAGCTGAGCGTGGGCGTTCAATATCGGCCGGCGATGCTAACTGCTGATCACTCGAGTCAGACTGGTCGCTAGGACCAGCATTTACAGGTGCTTTGTCTTTCATATTGGCGAAAGATACATCGGATGTCTGAAAGGTAGGGTTCGGACTGCTTCCCGACTATAACGAATGAATGGGTTAGCAAGGTCTCGGATAATACATGACAATAGAGCTTCTGCTGTTCTGGATAAGATAGAACAAAGGAGAAAAGAAGAACCCGAGACAATATGTGTGCTCTACAGTGGCAGGACAGACATACGGAATGATGTGATGCCCATCGGGGTGCATCGGCGCTTTTGATATACTGGATCAGTTCCTCGCGATTTGTTGCATGCATTCCCGCCCGGCTTTGATCCGGAGAGGGGCCTTCGTATGGGACATTCTGAGGAGGCCCTGTGAGGGGGGGGCTTCCCAGGGGCTCCCCAGGAGAATGTTTCCAGGGGGAGATGGTCTGACGTCGAGCATTAAGCCGTGGCTGGTGATCATCAGACCACACATCCTGGAGCTGCTGGTGTTCCGGATCCTGGAAGATGGGCATGGTCACCGGGAGAGGGAATGGGCAGAATGACGGGAAAGGAGGGCAAACATCGCAACCTCAGGAGCAGAGAGATCAGGGAGACGGACAACGAGGACCCTGATAACGCAAGAGGGAGGGGATTGCAGAGGTTGCGATGATCCGCAGAAACCGAAGTGGCGGAAGAGGAAGAGTCACGGTGGAGTCGACGATGACTTGATCTGCCTTGTGAAGAATGGCTCCGAGTGGGTAAGTCGTTTCGGGGCGTGGGGAACCAGAGGAAGAGGGAGAGAAGGTATATATATATTTATATTTAGTATAGACGATAAGATAGCAAGACTGACCGGAAACTAATGAGCGATGGAATTTAACAGGACATCTGAAACGACTAGAGAATCAATCGGGCGCGAGTAAAGAGGATAAAGATAAAGACCAAGAAAGCAGACGTGAGGGGGAGAGAAATGCGGAAAGAGCAGAAGATGCGGAGGCAAACGCTTTCGATTCCATCATCGGTCGACTCTCAATCAATTTCCCTGCCCAACTCTATATTTCCCTCTCCGATTTCCCCTCCATTGTAACCCTACACCTGCAGAATTATTCCCTGTAACAAAATCCCGCCATTCCCGGTGGAGACAACGCAGCTTTGCTTGGGAACATCCTGCAAGAGCCCATCAACCGCTAAACTCGAGTTCCTGCACCCGCTCGGCCTCTGCCGTCCAAAACTTTTTTTTTTCTTTGGTTCCCTTCTTTCTTCTGCAGCAATTAAAAAAAAAAAGGTCAACGAACAACACATCCCACCCCCGCCACGTTGTCGCTTGATTAGTTTCCTGCCCAATACACCGCTCCTTACATTCCGCGATCGGAGTCGAATTCCAAGAAAAAAGAAAAAGAAAAGCAAAGCAAGACAACCAATTCAAGCCCCCGACCAACCATGGCCCCGAAACGCTCCCGCGACGATATCACCACCGCCGACGAGAAGCGGGAAACCACCAACGATGCCCCCGTGAAGAAGAGAAAGGGTTTCAGCGTCGGTCCTGCCAACCTCCCAGATGGAACATACCGTCGCAAGAGTGAGTTTTTCTTTTTTTCTTTTTTTTTTCTCCCCTTTTCTTCTTCCTTACCCCTCACTCCAGTCTAGAACCGTGAAAAGCTAACAGAAGATAAACCAAATATAGCCCAGAAAATCAAAAACGACCTAATTCAAAAAGCCAAAGTCAAAAAGGCTTACGCCAAAGTTCGCGCCGCCGAGCTTGCCGCCGCTCCATCTAGACCCATCTACACCGATGATGCCCAAGATCAAGACGAGGATAACAAGCGCGCGGACCCGGCGCCGGCCTCGTTGGAACTTCACCCGGATCGACAGGCTATGCTAGACCAGCCGGCGCCGGAGCCCGAACCTACCCCTGCTGGTAGACTGCAGCGTGGGGAGAAGCGCAATGCGAAGGGCCGTCGTGAAAGAAAGCCTAAGCCCTCTGCGTTTGCTCGAGAGATGGAAATTGCGGAGAAGCGGAGGAAGGAGGCGGAGAAGCGTAGGGAGGAGCGTGAGTTCAGGCAGAAGGATCGCGAGGCGATGGCGCGCGCGAAACGGCCGGATCAGGCTGGGAAGAGGAGATTGGGGAGGGAGAGTAAGGTGTTGTTGGGTCGGGTGGAACGGATGGTTGGGAAGGCATAGGATGATGATGATCATGCATGGCAGGGCAGTTTCAATGTTGATTTGATTGCGAAGGTGTTCAAAAGTTTGAATATGATACCCACTAGGTAATGACTACATTATTTATTATTCTTCTTCTTCATAAGGATCAGGCTGCTACTACTTTCAAGATGATTTGTATATTTCTCTAGTGAGGATGAAGGGTGGGATCGATCTAGGCGGATGATTTGTGCCCGTTGCCGCTCCGCGGCTTTCGGAAGCAGGCAAACTCTCCTTTGGTTCTTTCTCTGAGGCGCTTCAGGATGCCTCTCATTTCTCCCAGCTCAGACTGAAGCCGTGCGCGTGCCTCGTGAGTGGTCCGTCGATCCAGCTCAACATAAATCTGACTTTGTATCGCGGATGCTTCGTCGGTCGAGAACTGTGACATAGTCTGCGCGATGAATTCGGTGTCCAGAGTGGCCTGCATGAGGGCTGGCAGAGTGTACGAGGACCGAGAACTAAAGGCGTTTAGAAGCGATGTCGACACCTGGGTCAGCAAATACGTCAGGACGACGGAGAGCAAAGAAGATTGGGCGGCGGATGAGGAGCGGCTCGGCACGGCCGTCAACGTCGAAGGGATGGTGGTGGTAATTTCCGTGTGTACGAGCACCAGGTCCAGCATGGTAGTGTAGACGTATGGACGGACCTGATCCGGGCGGGACGATGCCGGTTCCCAGTCGGGGGCAGTGATGCTGTTGACAATCATCGTGTTCAGCGCGCTGATGGTCGGCTTAGTGTATGACTGGAACAAGCGATCGTCGATCTGGTTGAGCACATCGCGGACGGTCTTGGCCTCCTCAGTCAACCGGACCGAGAACGAGTTCTCAAAGTTGGCGACCAGCTGCGGAACGAGATCGGCCTGGAATGCCTTGATGTTGGACAAAGTCAAGAGAATGCGCACATTCTGTAGACGCATTAGCCGATAATCTAGCAGAAGATTGGCGTGTTAAGAATCGATGATCTACTTACTCTATTTCGAGAATCGACCGCATCCGCAATGAGTAGCGACGGAGATGTATCAAACTGGCTTCGTGTCGCCGTTGAGCCAGCTGCGATCCACTCATCCTCATCCTCCGATGATGTAGGATGTTCCGCATTCTCAACCAGGCCACTCAGCGCCTTATAGACACTAGAAACAAACTGGGTGCGAACCATCTGTAGTAGCTTGGCAGGGGGCTGGGTCACAACATCGACGGAACCAGATCTCGCCATAGCCTCAGGGATGTAGAGGATCTTTTGCATACCCGCGATGATTGCGTTCTCAAAGGCAACAAACAGACCAGGCATCTTGGTCAAGTCTCTCTTTTCCGGGTCTCGAGTCCAGTCTTCCAACATCTTGCAAATTTCAGCATCCTTCCCCCAAGCTGTGCATGCCACACGTACTGAGCGTTCGCGTGCCACACTCACAAGAGATTTGAGAAGATCACGGGTGTTGGTACTGTGCACCACAGGCTCCAAGGCGGCCATCTCACTAGCCGCCGTGCCAATGAGCACTAGACATTGACTGAGATAGTGAATGCCACTGAGAGAATTCGAGAATGGTGGCCAGAAGGCGTAGTCTTCCCAATGCTCCCCGCGCTTCGGTGTGGGGAAGGGCATGTTCTTCGGATCAAGCTTGAAACGCGACTCTGTTGGGGTTACGCCCCGACTTCCAGGGCTGCTGGGGCTGGCTGTGGAGATTGGCGAGGTGAGGAGGGATACATCGTCCACTGGGGGATCGGCGAACAGTGAGAGAACACTCTCGCGAATGAGATTGAGAAGCTCGACTACTCCCTTTTGCAGCTCTCTGGCGTCATTGGACGAAAGTCGGTGGTGTTTGCGACTTTCTCCCTCGAACCCAGCTGGAAGAAGCTTTTGCCTGCTGCCGTCAATGAAGGACTGCGCTACTTCCCAAAAATCGAAGACTTCGCCAAGGAGACCTCCTTCAGAGGACAACAGCCTGCTCAGATAGGTATGGATACATTCCCAGAGCTCGATGACTTGGTCGCTATCGCGCATGGCTTGGGTGTCCAGAGCGCCGTCGCGAGGGGCCAACCGGAGGTATGATGCTACTGCCTGAGGCGTCGGTTTCTCACCACTAGCCAGTCGACGCCTCAGAATTTCTATCTCGACCTTGCAACGGTCACAGAATGCCGTGATCTTCTTTTTCAAAAAGTCGTAGCGACTGAGAAGCCATACCCAGATAGGATTGTCATCGACCCCTAGCTCCAGGAGAGCACCGATAAGCTCCATGTGCTCCTCTACGGGACCCGTAGCAGTAACTGTGGTCGAGGTGGTAGGCGCATCGCTGAGGCGCCTCCACAAGTCGCGTTTGAACGCTTGAATTTGCGAATCAACATCTATCCACATTCGCCCCATGGCCAGAATAACATGGGCCTCTTCATCCGTCAATGGCTGATGCTTGCTCGTTGCGGTATCGGCAATATCCCTGGCAGTCTTGGATAGGGCCCTCGCCTTTCGATACTGCTCGAAAACAGAGTCATAGTCTCTCTGCTTGATGGACTTGGAAAGGTGACCGCCTATTTCATAGATATCTCTATGTTTCTCCATTGTGTCGACAACGGACTTGAGCACCTGCTCCCTTTCACGTCCTCCCAATGCCGGACCCCACACCTCCTCTGCTTTAACAGATGCCTCGAGCAACGGAACACGGATACCCTTCATGCCGTATTCGCTCTCTTTCGTCAGAGCGTTCTTGCCGGGACCTACATCGGAAAGGGCCGAGGTAGCTATGCTCTGTTTGCTTCCCGAGAGGCTCCGCAAATGTCCAACCGACCGGCGGTTGGCATGAGGGCTCAAATACTCCTCTTTCTTGCCCTGATTTCTCATTTCTGTATATACACTGTCGATGGTCGCTTTGGCTCGAACGAATCGCTCGAAGTTCGCTTCGACGAGGACTTTCAGCGACGCGGATTTCTGGTCAATTGATTGAGAGAGAATGTTGAGACCTTCGAGAAGGGACCGTATCGACGCATCGGAATGGACTTGGGAGAGGAAAAGCGCCGGGGAGAAGGAAGTCGATGAGAGCAGGAAACGATTCCGCAGGCGACTCTCTTCATCTAGCGACAAGCCTCGCATTTTGAGGATCTTGAGCACACTGTCCCCGGTTCCCAGGGGATCAGGCTCATCCATCTTGACGAGGTTCTCCCGACCATTGTTGCCTTTGAAGGAGCCTAGAGTGACCCCCTTCCGCGTGCTATTGCTGCGCTCCAAAGCAAAGTATCGGGATTTCTCCGAGCGCGAGCCACGACGTTCTAAAGCTTCGTCTTCAGAATGGTCGCTATCATCCAGCTCGGCAGGCCATTCTTCAGGGAAAGCTGAGGGCAAGTTATAGTAACTGGCCACGTCGACGTCAGCCATGTTCGGGGGTGGGTGGGTAGGTGTTTTGGGAAATCGGCGATAACGGAGGTTGTTATTATGGGGAGAGCGATTAAGCACGGAGGGGAGGGATTAGGGAGGCCACATGCAGGAAAACGCGCAGCAGCAAGGGTGGGGACAATTGGGGGGGGGGGTTCAGAATTAGGGTGTTAACTATAGAAAGGATAGGCACAGCCAGGACAGGCAGTTCGGAGGGAACGTTTGGGACGTTGGGTTAGCTTGGGAGTTATCAGATCAAGCACGGGAAGCAGACTGGAGCCGGTGGACTGACGGTAACTCGCAAGTTTGTCTCTTGTTCGGTCGGACCGGCAGCGGCGGTGCCGAGAATCACTGGATGGATTAAAGTGCCTTTCTTCGCCGCGACTTGCTCTCTTCGTTCCCGCACAAGGAAACCCGCCGCCGCCTTTTCCACCTCTCTCTCTCTCTCTCTCCTCTCTTCTTTCTCTTCCTTACTCTCCTCTCTTCTCCTCACCACCCCCCAATTCCTTCTTTTTATTCCACCCTTGACCGTTTGACGTCGATCTCGGGGACTTTATCACAATGATTGCCGCCAGGAACTTTGTCGCTCCCGTCCGTCAATGCTTGCGGACAACACGTGTGTCCCCTCGCATTGCCTCGCCCTTCTCGCAGGTAACCTACCGACCGCTTTCCTCGACAACATCACCTGGAAGGATTTTCGATCTAACTGCACATGTAGCTCCGCACTTACTCCGTTGCTGCCGATGAGCGCGTCGCCAAGTTCAAGGGTCAGAAGGACACTGATGTATGTCGCGTCCCGGGCAACGCCTGAAACATTTTTTTGCGTCCATCCTTTGGTCCGGTAGCTTCCGCCGCAACCTGCGACAACGGCCTATATCCAACAGCTGTACCGAAGGATGGATCTTATATGAATGGTGTTGTTGACTTGATGTGTCCTTATAGGGAAAATACACTGTTACCCTGATCGAGGGTGACGGTATCGGTCCCGAGATCTCCCAGTCGGTGAAGGATATCTTCGCTGCCGCAAACGTACGCCTCCCGCTTTCCTACGATCGCCTATGATATACAAACCCAGCGATGCTAAACTACCTGTGTGCAGGCCCCTGTCAAGTGGGAGCCCGTCGATGTTACTCCCATCCTGAAGGACGGCAAGACCGCCATCCCCGACGAAGCCATCAAGAGCGTCCAGAAGAACTACGTTGCGCTCAAGGGTCCTCTTGCTGTACGTCCTTCCTTTCTAGACTCTTTTGCGATGGATCTTCTTTTCTAAACGCTTCGTCACATAGACCCCCGTCGGTAAGGGACACGTCTCTCTGAACTTGACCCTCCGTCGTACTTTCAACCTCTTCGCCAACGTCCGTCCCTGCCGTTCCGTTGCCGGTTACAAGACCCCTTACGACAATGTCGACACCGTCCTGATCCGTGAGAACACCGAGGGTGAATACTCCGGCATTGAGCACGTCGTTGTCGACGGTGTCGTCCAGAGCATCAAGCTCATCACCAAGGAGGCCTCCGAGAGAGTGCTCCGCTTCGCCTTCCAGTACGCTCGTTCCATCAACAAGAAGAAGGTCCGTGTCGTGCACAAGGCCACCATCATGAAGATGTCCGACGGTCTCTTCCTCAACCTTGCTCGTGACATCGCCAAGGAGTTCCCCGACGTCGAGTTCGATGCTGAGCTGCTGGACAACTCTTGCCTGAAGATCGTTACCGACCCCACCCCTTACAACGACAAGGTCCTTGTCATGCCCAACCTGTACGGTGACATTCTGTCCGACATGTGCGCCGGTCTGATCGGTGGTCTTGGTCTGACCCCCTCCGGTAACATTGGTGACGAGTGCTCCATCTTCGAGGCCGTCCACGGTTCTGCCCCCGACATTGCTGGCAAGGGTCTTGCCAACCCCACTGCTCTGCTTCTGAGCAGTATCATGATGCTTCAGCACATGGGTCTGAACGAGCACGCCGCTCGTATCCAGAAGGCTACTTTCGACACCCTCGCCGAAGGAAAGGTAAGCTAGCATCCCATCAATCTGACGTCAACATTGCGAAAACACGATGCTAATAGTTGCAATTTTAGGCCCTCACCGGTGACTTGGGTGGTTCCGCCAAGACCCACGAGTATGCTGAGGCCATCATGAAGCGTCTGTAAGGGATTGGAACATGCCTGTACTATTCCCCTAAATTGTTTCCTTTTTAGCCTGTGAATGACTCTAGACCAAATATGTAGTGATCTACTGTATGTGCTCCCATGTATTTAGATGCCATCTATGTTGTTTTACTTTCTACCTCGATTTTTCCTACACCCAATCTGTTCAGTCATTGTTGGAGAAAGAAAGATACTAGTAGCGAATAGCATGATCGACGGAACATGCCTAGTCTACCGTCCCGGTAAAAGAAACAATCGATTGTAGAACCAAGGAAAAGAAAGGTAATAATACAAACAAAGCCCCATCAAAACGCCTAGTTCTCCCAAGGTATCATTATCGACGTATTTGTTACAGACAGAGCCAACGAACGTCAGCAGGAAAGCACATATCAATATCAAGGCTGACGCCGTCGACCCCTCCGAGTTCCCGTGCCTGCTGCACTTCTTCCCTTCTGTTTCGTCCTCGATGTCTGGGCGCGCGTACTTCGCGTCGTAGGTGATCCCCCTTCCGCTTCCTCATCGACCTCACTATCATCCTTCGCAGCGTCTGAACCATCTTCATCGCCATCTTCATTCGCACCTGTCTCCTCGCCAGAATCCCCTTCTTCCTCCGCAGCTCCGGAACCCTTCGCTGGCGGTTCAACCTCGACATGAAGACGCGACGAACGCGTCCCTCGTCCAGCGGTGCGCCCGCCACGGCCTGATTTCCGTCCTCGTGATGGCGCGGGGGAAGAGCGAGGTTCTGTATGAGATGAACAGCTGCGATTAGTATGTTTCTTCTAGCCATCTGACAACCAAGACAATGATGTTATATACGCACCGTCCGTATCAGCCACCGTGCTCCCCCTCCTCGATCCCGCATGCGTGCTAGGATCAGGAGACGCGGTCCCTTCCATCGCCAGTCGCCGTTCGAACATCAATTCTCCGTATTCGTCCTGGGGTAATTCGAACGGGCAGTAGAATTCCTTCGAGTCCTCGGCGGTGTCTGTTATCAATGAATCTTCCTGCATATCACGTAATATTTGACGAATGTTAGCACGAGCCGGAATCCCAAGATTGTAATGTAATCTCAATGGCTGGGGAGAGGCATCAACCCACCCGTTCATCCAAAGCCGGAAGATTGTATAATGTCCCCAGCTTTTTCCATATCCCTGGTATCCGTGTGTGTTCTGCGTGCGCGGGGGCATATCCTTGGCTTTTCATGAACTCCGAAATTGCGATCATGCGGAAGTGCTTGTGCATGCCTTGAAAGAGAAACCTCATTAGCGACACACTGTTCGGAGTAGTGCCTGCCCTTGCGCCCGGCAGAGGGGAATGATTGCTGACATACCGACAGGCTTCCATTTTATGATCCCCTTCAATAACGCGGTCTCTTGCTCGTCCGTCCAGGGATCTGTCACTGGGTCGTAATCCGCGGTTGTTGGCTGGTCAGCGGTGCTTGCGGACGGCTCGGCATTCTCATTTTGGGGGGTGAGTTTGGCTTTCTTGCGCGGGGGCATGGCGGTTAAATAGTATGTAAAGAGAGAGCTTATGTGTATTCCGTAGAGGTGGGTAGGTAAATAATGGTCTGCTAAAGGGACGGAGGGGAGAGCTCTCGTCCGCGGGTTGGTTGAACCGCGGCGAATTCCTGCCGCTTCGGTTTCCCGAACAAGCGGTGGTCCGGGCGTTGGACGGGGAGAGGAGCTAGTCTGGTTTGGGTTTAGTGAGGCGTGATCTCGCGCTGCCAACGCGTCCTCTGGTGCTTGTCACTTGAGATTCCCACGAGACTTTGGTGGGTTGAGTTGAGGACGATGAATCTGGGAGACTCCACTCCTGGCCTGCTGTCTGGTTATGGCCTACAGAGTTTTGGCCAGTTCGTCTTGCGGTTCCTACATCCATTGAAGCTGTTGACGTGGGAGAAGTTGTCTGATGCATACTAACTACTCAGTTACTAACTATATGCTGAAAGACGTCATTGATGGCTCTGCTTTGCGAACTGTTTCAAGTGTCCTTTGGAAAGCATTTGACAGATACGGCGCCGAAGTCTCCCGGGATGCCACAGCTCGGTGACAAGGCGAAACTTCTCAATAAGATCTTCGAAGGATACACATTTTGGTATCCCCCCACGTGGCTTCACCTGAAGGTCATCGGATGCACAGTATAAGATACTGGCAATGGTGCAATTCCATTGAGCCTATTGTCGCTTTCCTCTGTGGAGCAGGCCGGTTGTCTTTCATACTTGACCGATATGATTGAGCGAATGATATGATTCTGACCCTGGTAGAAAATCCTATGTTTGACTCGCGCATATTGCAGGCGCACATCAAGACCAACTTAATCCTTTCACTTGAAGCACATTACAGTTCGTATATATTTCTTTCGAACTTAGCGTCATTATATACAATCTAACAGCGTGGCCTCCTAATACTAGTGACGAAGGCTACTTCCAGAAACGAGGAGGTGCTCCCCTTAGAAGAAATGAAGGTCCGACTCCGCCCATCCTTGCTCCAGTAGGATCTTGCGGGCGGACTTTTCCATGGCCTCTGGACCACAGATAAGCACCATGCTCTTGCCATCGGGAATGGCATGCTCCTTCAGCAGGTCTTCCGATATACGTCCACGACGTCCAGTCCAACTGTCCGGAGCCTTGGTTAATGTGTGTACCACCTTGCACTTCTTGCTATCCAACGCTTCATAGGCGTCCAGTTCGTCACGACAGAGGATGTCCTCTTCCTGTCTATTGCCATCCAGGACCACGCACGAAGTAGGGTCCTGCTTGTCCTGTATCACTGCACGTAGCACTTGGAAGATAGGCGTGATACCAGTTCCCCCACAGATCATCTTGAAAGAACTAACATGGCGCTCTTTACCGCTCACCATGATCTTGCCGTTTCCAAGGTACTCGAACCTGCCAGTGGGACCCTTGCAGTCGATTTCTGATCCCAACGCGAGCTTCTCTAAAGCCATGGTCATCTTGCCACCTTTGACTGTGGGAGTGTCGAAGTAAATCTTGACCAGCAGGTCCATGGTGCCTTCCTGGTTGGTATCGGAGATAGGGGTGTATGAGCGGATAATGGCTTCTTTGCTGATGGGGTCGGCGACCTTGATCATGAGATGCTGGCCAATGGGCAGGCCCAGGGTCTGTTTGTCATGTTGAAGCTGGAAAGTGAAAATGCGGGTGTCCCATGACACGTCCTTCCTCTTGACAAGGGTCATCTTTGACCATGATTTCGACTGGAGGAATGTTGCGCGAGGTTCATCCGATTCTGGTGTGCTATCGTTCTTGAGCGCTTCCAACGACGCCTTATCCATGGTTCCGATATGGTAATCAGGCATCATGGCTTTGGCCGTTTCGCTATCTGTGAGTGTGTCAGTATTCTAAACTCCATTCCAAAGAAAAGGTCCTTAGACATACGGATGGCCAAAAATTCCTCCGAAACGTCGATGCCAGCAGATGAGATAATACTCTGAGCCCCTCCTGGATGACCCTCAAGGAATGCCGTGCCATCGTACACTTCCCCGTTCACGATGAACCAGGGCTTCTCATCGCTTGAGTTCTTCTTGAATTCTTCAAGGTCGATCATCCGGTTTACGCCGTCTTTCTTCATGTTGATCTCCTTCTCAGGCTCTGGCTCTGCCGGTTCCTCTCCTGCGTGTCTTTCGCCCCAGTTACCGTTGACCAGATCACCACCGGCCTTCTTGACGCGTTCCATCCATCCACCAGGCCCGGTAGGATCTGTTGGGTGGTCGAACCTGAGAGTCCCATTCTCCTTTGTGATGGTGACCCGGAACCAGGGATTGTTCATCATGCCCAGAACAGACCAGTACATATCGCGCGGTTGGAGAGACAAGGCCTCATCCATGGCCCGCACAAGAATGGCATCTGTATTTTCTAGCTCGGGAATGGCGATATCCAGCGACCAGAAGCTCCAGCAGAAACAAGTCTCGCGCCAGGACATGTCTACTCTGCCACCGAACAGGTCCCCTTCGAAGTCACGATACTTGTCTTCGGCATATGAAATGTTGGCCAATCGCCAGGCTAAAATCAGGTTAGCTCTGCTTCAGCACATCTGTGCGAATGATCGTCGTACATTTGCCTTTGTCTAAAGATATTTCAACTCTTGTAATCCTCCGACCGCCTCCTGCATAGGCATATCCTTTCACGTTGTACGACGGGCCTGCCGACGCAAGATCCAGCACCTCCTTGTGCTCGGGGTATACTACAGAAGAGTTCACGTTCAAATCATAAATCGCATATCGGTCATCGCGCCACCAGTTTGGGTCACTGGATGACATTTCGGGCGAAACCATTGTCCTGGATAAAAGTTAGACAACGTACTCTTGTGGACGGATAGGCGAGTCTTACGGTAATACTCGGTTGTCATAGATGTGGTACCAGTTATCACTGGGCGCATCAGTCAGAATGAGCTTCTTCAGCCATTTAACACTTCGGCCACCGATCTGGCCGGGTACGACGGCTCTTAGGGGACGGCCGTGATCAGGACGGAGATCCTCGCCGTTCATTTTGTGGGCCAGCATGATTCCCCTATTGGGATCCATGGCCCAATTGAGTTTGATTGAGGTGCCGTAATACCCGTTTGGCTGAAAGCAGAATGTCAGAGCACTACATGCATGGATGGATATGGCGACTTACCAGCTTATCTGCTCCCTCCATGCAAACATACTTGGCTTTTCTCAGAGGCTTCGCACTCCGTAGGATATCTGCCATCATTGGGCCAGTCCAAAGGGCCGTCGACAGGCCAGCGGAACCCCATGAGAAACCTTTGGTCTTCCTGACCACATTCTGCTCCTTCCGTCTGTTTCCCGCACAGACGAGAGTGATTGGTGCTGTGATCTGATCGTATTTCTGCAAGATTTCCCGGAAGTTGAGGACAAGCGGCTTCTCCACCAGGCTGCATATACCTTGTCAGATAAGGCGCGACGTTTGGGGGGAATGATATTCTTTACCCTTCGATGCTAATCTCCCAATTTGGGATGTCTTCATCCTTCACCAAAGGTACCGGGCCGTGATTTCTCACATAGAATAGTTCCGGGGAAGTCAAGAAGCCTAGTTTCCGGTGAGCATCGCCACGACTACAAGGGCCCTTGCGCAGAGTTCAAAGGGGATAGGGCAGCAGGGAAAGAGGTTGAGTACCTTCATCGTACAGAGCCGTAAGTGGAGGCTCGACATTGAAGGGATGAACACCCGTCAGTCTGATAAGGCGAGGGTCGCGGGGTACATGATAATCGGGAGTTGGTTTGTCTATATTGAGAATTTCGGTTGGTGCTTTTGAAGGGGGCGGCAGAGGAATGTCTGGAAGTTCCACGGCAGGCAGCTCCTCTTGGTGGACCTTGATCGGACCCGACTTGAGGGCGACCCCTTGAGCGGTGAAAGGCTCTGTCAGCACCTCAGTGACAGTCGCCATGATATGCGCTTATGTGGTTCAATAGTCTCGAGGTGCCAGATCAGACATGAGACGATATCGAGAATCGAGACGAGTATAGATTCGGACCGATACAGAGCATGCAGAAGGCAGATGAGAGGAGCCAGACACACATCTGGGGAAGACCAGGGTTAGCTACGGGAAAATCAATCGCTCAAAAACCAGATGACAGATGAACCCTCAAAACTGCCGGCTTTTGGATTAGCTCAACGGGGTGACCAGCAACGGCCGGGATCTGGTACTAAGTCCACGGAAAAGAAACAGGAGGCATTCCATCTGGTTTGAGATCCTCTTGGGGGGGGGGTGATTGAGGGTCAACATTCGGCCGGACAGATTTCCGCGGGAGCCGGTGGATTCGAACAATGAGTGATCTAACGAGCAGAGATATGTAATAGTAATACTCCGTACTCTTCAGATGGTCTAGTCATGGCCTGGTGTGTCCTCCAGCCGGAAAGACAGGGAGAAACCGGGCTTCTCATTCGAACATTCCTACAGGGGGGGGTGTGGGCACTTGAGACTCGGTCCCGTAAAAAAAAAGTATAAAAAACCCAGACATGAAAAAATCCGGAAACAAGCCTCCCCCGAGCAGCCAAGAGACTCACTAAACTAGTGACATTTTGTGCTGTAATGGAAAAACTAGCCCCAGGAGGACAGCGGCCAGATCCACTTGTTTAGAGGGCTCCACCGCCGATTAATTGCCCATTAATTGCAACAGGATTACGAAGTCTCCAGCTGGCCGTGAACAGAGGTATTGTTCTCGTGTATTGAGTCACGGTATCGGAGAATATTGAGTAAGTAATATTGCTTGGGGGGCTGTTGAGCTTTTTGCCGCAGTGGAGACGGACAGAAAAAAAAAAAAAAAGATGGAAAGCAATGGTCCCATCGGTCGACTAAGTAGTGGTCAGTGAGCAGACGTCTAAAAACAACTGGTAGTTAGTCAGTAGTGGTTAGTCAGTAGTACATAGTGCTATGTAGCATGCACCTGCTGCTGGAAACCAAACCATAGTCAATCGCATCCCTCGAAATCCCTCACAATGAAGTTGATGATTCCAGCAACTGCAAGGAGCTTCAATCAATCAATCAATCTCTGGTACGTATACTTCCGATCACGGCCAATCAGACGCTTATCAGGAACCGAAAAGGCAGTCGCGATAAGCAACAGCCTCAATGCCTTCGTTTCTCCATCGCATCTCCGCGGAGTCGCACTCGCTCGCTCGATTCCATGCAGCCACTCCCCAATTACCGATCGAACCCATCGCATGCCCGGTTCTTATCCGTCCTTTCCCCTCTCCACGAACGGTGGCTCCTCTATGATCTGCATGGCGGGTCAAGAGGTCCCTGATTACAGAACGATCGAGCATGGACCCCCCTCGCAACTGATTACATCAGAGGTCATAGTCACCCATCCAGTAACTATCCCACGGAGAAACACAACTCAAACGCCCCTATTTCCGCAACTCCGCGCAGTTATCGGTCTCCTCTTGGCGAGATAGTTACAATGATGGTGGTTTGTTGTTCATGGCTGTGTAGCGCAGCTCCGGTGCCGCGGGGGTTCTCTTTTCCCTGTGGCACAAACAAAACCGCGCTGGTTTCCTGTTGGCCACTGCCATCGATGTAGGATTCCATGATTATCCTCTGTCATCACAATGCCTCTGTTGGATGGATCAGGGAATGGTGACGCTGTCGTCATGGACAGCGTCCCCAGCATTCTCCCTCCTACAATTGATTCCCTACCAGATCCGGCTCCTCGCCGATCGGCTTCGAATCGGCGCCAGAAGATCGTGGTGGTCGGCTTGGGAATGGTGGCTATATCCTTCATGTATGTTTTGGCAGTCGAACAACTGTGTATTAACGCCGAAACTCGGGATGCTGACTACTCCTGTTTGTTCTTAGTGAGAAGCTCGTCAAGCAGGACTCAGAGCGACGAAAGTATGATATCGTTGTCATTGGTGAAGAACCACACATTGCCTACAATCGAGTCGGCCTATCGTCCTTTTTTGAGCATCGCAAGATCGAAGATCTATACCTGAACCCAAGAGAATGGGTGAGTACTCCGTAGTGTGCTAAGTTTCCGATCCGCGCTCGGGATGGCGGCCCTGGTCCAGACACTAACGCCGAAGCCGGTGCCCTAACTAGTACGGTTCCATCAAAGACCGATCCTTTGACTATCACCTCAACACTCGGGTAACCGACATCTTTCCCGACCGTAAGACGGTCAAAACATCGACTGATGATGTTATTCCTTACGATATCCTGATTTTGGCTACGGGTTCTGATGCCGTACTTCCCACGCGCACCCCGGGACACGATGCCAAGGGCATCTTTGTCTACCGGACGATCTCGGATCTGGAAAAGCTCATAGAGTTTGCATCCAAGCATAAAGGTGAGACGGGCGTCACTGTAGGAGGTGGTCTGCTGGGCCTAGAGGCAGCCAAAGCGATGACAGACCTGCAAGACTTTGGCAGTGTCAAACTCGTCGATCGCAACAAGTGGGTGTTGGCGAGACAGCTGGATGGAGATGCTGGCACCCTTGTGACCCGCAAGATTCGAGAGCTGGGCTTGGATGTACTACACGAGAAGCGCGTTGCACGCATAAATACGGATGACGATAATAACGTTACTGGAATTGTTTTCGAAGATGGTGAAGAACTCAGCTGCTCATGCATCTGTTTTGCTGTACGCTCCCCCTTACCATTGCCAGTCGCTTTTGACGTGCTAACTCCCAGAATAGATCGGAGTCAGGCCACGAGATGAGCTGGGCCAGTCCGCGGGAATCCAGTGTGCTGGGAGAGGAGGTTTCGTCATCGATGAAAGGTACAGTCAGTACCCAGAAATTCATTTGATACATATTGACACCACAACAGCCTTCAAACCTCCATCAAAGACATTTATGCGATCGGAGAATGTGCAAGTTGGGAGAACCAAACCTTTGGTATCATCGCTCCCGGCATCGAGATGGCCGACGTGCTCGCATACAACCTCACCAATCCCGACAAGGAACCCAAAAGCTTCAAGCGACCCGATCTCAGTACCAAGCTAAAGCTGCTAGGTGTCGATGTGGCTAGTTTTGGTGACTTCTTCGCCGATCGGGATGGGCCCAAGTTCCTCCCCGGTCAACGGCCGTCAATGCCCTCCGGAGGTGCAGCTGAAGATGAGCCAGCTGTAAAGGCGCTTACATACAAGGATCCTTTCGGCGGTGTCTACAAGAAATATCTCTTTACCATGGACGGCAAATACCTCCTAGGTGGTATGATGATCGGGGATACGAAGGACTACCTCAAGTTGAACCAGATGGTCAAGTCCCAAAAAGAGCTGGACGTACCTCCCAGCCAGTTCATTCTGGGGGCTCAGAGCTGTGGGGAGGAAAATGCCGACGATCTGTAAGTTATTGGAATCGCTCAGACGCCGAAGTAATAGGCTAATATATTATGCGCCTATAGGGATGACAGCACTCAAATTTGTGCCTGCCATAATGTTACCAAAGGCGACTTGGTTTCGAACATTAAGAATGGCACCTGCAAAACCGTTGCGGAGGTCAAGTCGTGCACTAAAGCGGGAACCGGCTGTGGCGGTTGCATGCCGCTAGTGCAGTCCATCTTCAACAAGGCCATGCTGGACATGGGGCAAGAAGTCTCGAACAACTGTATGTATACACTTTGTTATGGCTTTCGGAATTATTCTAATGTGTATGCAGTATGTGCACATATTCCACACTCGCGGGCCGACCTCTACAACATCATCGCCATTAAGCAACTGAAGACGTTCGAGGATGTCATGAGGACGGTCGGCAAAAACCCCGATTCGCTTGGCTGCGAGCTGTGTAAGCCTGCAATTGCCTCGATTCTCTCCAGTCTTTTCAATAGACACATCATGGATAAGGATTTACACGAATTACAAGAAACAAACGATCGGTTCCTTGCCAACATTCAGCGGAACGGGACCTTCTCGGTTGTTCCTCGAGTACCTGGAGGAGAAATCACGGCGGACAAATTGATTACGATCGGGCAGGTCGCCAAGAAATACAATCTCTACTGTAAGATTACTGGTGGTCAGCGTATCGATTTGTTTGGAGCCAAGAAGCAGGATCTGCTTGACATCTGGACGGAACTGGTCGATGCAGGTATGGAGAGCGGGCATGCGTATGCCAAGTCGCTTCGGACTATCAAGGTATGTAACTTCATGTTGATTCGTTGGTTGGGGTGGTCTGGGAACATACTAACGCTTCTCAGAGCTGCGTGGGGACCACATGGTGCCGGTTCGGTATTGGCGACAGTGTTGGCATGGCCATCCGGCTAGAAGAACGCTACAAGAGTATCCGCTCCCCGCACAAGCTAAAGGGCGCTGTCTCCGGCTGCGTGCGAGAATGCGCCGAGGCACAGAACAAAGAGTGAGTTTACATCCATGTTCTGTATGCTCAAGGCATCTGGCTAATCGGCTTCAGTTTTGGTCTTATTTCCACCGACAAGGGCTTCAACATCTTCGTTGGAGGCAACGGAGGTGCCAAACCTCGGCATTCCGAGATCCTCGCGAAAGATGTTCCGCCCGAGAAGGTCATCCCGATGATCGATCGGTATCTTATATTCTACATTCGCACGGCAGACAAGCTCCAGCGGACAGCTCGCTGGATTGAGAATCTCCCTGGTGGTATTGAATATCTACGCGAGGTAGTTGTGGAAGATAAACTGGGCATTGGGGCGGAGATGGAACAGCAGATGCAGGAACTGGTCGACAGTTACTTCTGCGAGTGGACCGAAACGGTCCGAAACCCCAAGCGGCGCAAATACTTTCAACAATTTGCCAACACGAATGATACCGTCGACACCGTGGAGGTGATCAAGGAGCGCGACCAGCAGCGCCCGACCTATTGGCCCAGCGAACCGGCCAAAGAGGACTTCAAGGGCCACCAATGGTCCAGTCTCTCGTGGCAGCCCATCATCAAGGCTGACTACTTTTCGGATGGCTCGCCACAGATGTCATCCGCCAATTTGAAGCGTGGGGATACGCAGTTGGCCATCTTCAAGGTCAAGGGCAAGTACTACGCGACGCAACAGATGTGCCCTCACAAGCGGGCGTTTGTCCTGTCAGACGGGCTGATCGGCGACGACGACGCCGGCAAGTACTGGGTGTCATGTCCCTACCACAAGCGCAACTTCGAGCTGAACGGAGAGCAAGCGGGTCGATGCTCGAACGACGAGAGCATGAACATCGCGACGTTCCCGATTGAGGAACGGGACGACGGATGGATCTATCTGAAGCTGCCGCCTGTCGAGGAGCTGGACTCGATTCTGGGGACGGAGAAGTGGAAGGTGCGGAAGGGCGAGGCGCCCGATCCTTTCAAGAAGCATGACAAGAAGTATAAGGGGATGCGAGGGAAGAAGGCAGGCGAGAAGGCATCTGGGTGCGGTACGGCTGCGTCATCCACGGTGATTGACTGGTAGTCGGTTCCTCTGTGGCGAGGGTGATGATGATGACGATGATGATGTTACGATTTGAGCTAGAGCTTCTTTGACTGGATGAGGATGTCCGTCTACAGCACACCATGTAATTTATTCTATGTATCTTCCAATACCAGTTCCACATTGTCTATACTATTGGTATTACACCTAAGCCTTAGTGGTGGCCCAGGGAGCCCTCGAACGGCACATGCGACTGGATAACTGGAACCCATCGTGGATATTAAGATGGTGCCATATCCTGCCCGATGCAGCTGCTGCCTATATTAATCGTGTTTAGACCATGCTCGGGGAAGCCATACATAAGTGAGCAGGTGCTAGTCCGGCCCCCAGGAGCTTACATTTAGGGCCCGGGGCAGCCGTTCGTAGCCGAGGAGCGTTCGTTGTATTTTGTGTTTGCCTTGCGTGCCTTGCATGACCAATTCCAGTATTTGCACCAAAAGCAGTCCGGCGTTCCAATTTAGGGCAGCGGCTGTCAACTTGTCCGGGCCCCCCTAATAGCAACACGCTGATTGGCTGGAATGAATGACTTATCAAGGATCAGCCCACGAGGTGGCCCGTGCATGACATTGCTTTTTACTTTTTTTTTTTTCTTCCCATCTGGGACAGCATTCTCATTGTTTGGGTCTCCTTATCAGCCAGTTTCAGCCTATTTGTCAGTGTTTGATACGAAATCGGATGCCGAGAGTTCCTATATCGGGAGTGAAGATGTATCATTGTCCAACGTAGACAGTCGATCTGCAACCCCTTTTTTTTGGCTTTCCCTTTGTAAGTCTTACTGTACATCTTCCATCCGGACGGAAGAGAGATGGATCCTTGAAGCAGTTCGAAACCGGGTCGAGACGGCGACTCACAGTACTAGAGGACTGAATAGATATCCACCTGCCAAACAGGCGAGGAATACGTAAGTAGTGGCCCCCGTTCTTAATTTACTGCCGCCCCATCTGGCTGGCCACTACGGAGTAGTCTATAGTACGGAGTAGTGGCTGGCAGCTCGGCACCTCCTACTATACCCGACTGGGGATGTATTTTGTAGACTCTTGCAATGTCAAGCAATGGCAAGCTTCAGAAAGAGGGAGAAAATTTCTGCTAGCTCGTAGACGAAGGAGAAATGGATACCAGGACTTGCAAAATATTTCAACCGGAGGTTTGAGGGGGATGACTTGCGGTGACCATGGCCCACTTGCCGGTGGGTTGGATTTAATTTTATTTTTTTTTTTTCCTCTTCCTTTCTTCTTCTGTTGTGATTGTCAATTTTTAAGATGAGAGAAAATGAAGGTGACCGCGTCTCTTCCTGAGGCCCCATCTCTGTCCCGTGATACAGTTAGTCAAGCAGGAGTAAATGAGTAAATGAGTGACTGAGTGAGTGGACTTACTCCGTAATGGGTGGCTGCCTCAATTCCCTGGGTCCCTCCCTATCTACTCCGTACGACTAGTCTATCTCTCGCCAATCTCTCTCTACCATTCCTCCCCTCCCTATCCCTCTACACGCCCACTCACTCCCCCCGGAAATACACAAACAGTCATTCTTCTTTCATCTACACTCCGCGGAGTTACTTCTCCAGATCTTCTACCTTATCCTTATCAGTTCCCCAGAACCATGCCAATCATGCCCTAAACTGCCGTGCAGAGACCCTTGCTTATCTCCAGCACTGGTCTCGTTGGTCCACGCCTCTCATGAACTGGGCCTCGATCGCCATGCCATGAACCCTGAGGTCATCTTCCTGCTTAGGTCCATGACTAGCGACTCCGGCTCTCGCGCTGGACGGTCTCTCTTACCGCGCGACCCAGTATCCACAGCCACACTCAATCCGACTGCCAGGTGTGGATCCCCGGCCATTGCTCCTAGATTGAGTTCACAGGCTTGCCTTGGTTCTGCTTATTTTGCTGCTGTTGCTGCTGATAATAATATTTTTTGCCCTGCTGCCACACCGTGTTGAGCTTGACCCATTTCCTAGGAGATACTGATTAATGTTTCTCTGAATGTTATGTCGTTTAATTTCATCAGAAGCAAGCCACTCGCATCAATCAACTGGTAATCAGACCGCTGACCCTCCTAGGAGATAGATAACTAGATAGATTGATGCCTTGAAAGAGGCCTCCCACACGGGGGTGTCGGAGCATTTCCTACGCCTGAAAAGAACGTTTCCACTTCTTGTGACACTATCCGAAGCACCGGTCTATATATACACGTCCTCTCCATCGATCTAATTCGGTCTTAATTCTCCTGTATTGCCCTATACCACACTCTCAATACCCATTGCACTTCCAGCGGGACCCAGTCGTCCGTTAGTCTACTCGCATCTAATACGCCCTGGTGGTGTTTTGTCTTTGTTGTGATACCCCTTCTCTCTGTGCTTGCTAGATCCCCTCCTGTACCTTACATCCTTGCTGTCTTACCTCGCTGTCTTACCTCGCTGTCTTACCAGTGACAGTATACCATCAATTGATTGTGCTATCGACCGAATCTCTCTGGCGATGGATCACATCAAGCTACTCTTTGTCTCTCCGGAGATTAACCCGAGTAATCGCAAAGCACAGTCTATCCCTATCCTCAACCCGTTTGACAAATATGGTCGGGTTTTCTTCTTCTCATGGCTGGGTTTCATGGTGGCTTTCCTGTCGTGGTATGCCTTTCCACCGTTGGTAAGTGACTTCTAACCCGAATGCATGCATGGACAAAGGTTGACATAGGTTCCTCACATAGTTGACCGACACAATTCGCCAAGATCTTGGAATGACAGAGACGCAGGTTGCAAACTCGAACATTGTTGCTCTGCTCGCGACGTAAGCCTCCCCGTCCCATACTCCTCTTATATACAGAAATCGTTGACAATGTGCTAGTCTGCTTGTGAGATTCGTAGCAGGACCCCTTTGTGACAAATTCGGTCCTCGTCTGGTCTTCATCGGGCTGCTGCTTTGTGGGTCGATCCCAACTGCCATGGCGGGCCTTGTCACCACTCCAAATGGCCTGATTGCCCTGCGCTTTTTCGTGGGTATCCTCGGAGGTACCTTTGTCCCATGCCAGGTCTGGTGCACGGGATTCTTTGACAAGAAGATTGTTGGGACTGCGAATGCTCTGGCTGGTGGCTGGGGCAATGCTGGTGGTGGAATCACCTTGTATGTTGAACATTGTGCCTCTCCTGATCATTTGGCTTTCATTTGGCTTTCATTTGGCTTACTTGTCTCAGCTTCGTTATGCCCGCTGTGTACGATTCCCTCGTCAAAGTCCAGGGCTTGCCACCACACAAAGCATGGCGCGTGGCATATATCGTGCCGTTTATTATCATCGTCGGGGTCGCCCTAACCATGCTCTTCGTATGTGAGGACACGCCGACGGGCAAATGGTCGGAGCGTCATCTCTGGGTGAAGGAGGCCACCGAGTCTGAGGGCAACATCATTGATATCAACTCGGGAATTCCGTCCAAAGCCCCCTCGGTGTCCGACATGATGACGGACGTGGAGAAGAAAGGCGGCGCCCAGACTCCCATGTCTCTAGGAGCCGAGTCTCAGCAGATTGGCCAGTTCGACGCGCTGCGGACGGACACGGTGGTAGCACCCACACGCAAAGAGGCCTTGAACGTGCTCTTCAGTATGGTCACTGCAGCCGTCGCCATTCCATACGCCTGCACTTTCGGAGCAGAACTTGCCATCGAGTCCGTTCTGGCAAACTACTATGTAGCGAACTTTCCCAGTATGGGACAGACTGAGTCCGGAAGATGGGCCGCCATGTTCGGGCTACTGAATATCATCTGCCGACCGGCCGGTGGCTTCGTGGCCGACTTTCTGTACAGAACCACACAGAGCCTATGGTCGAAGAAGATCCTGCTGGTCTCTTTGGGACTCATCACGGGAGCTTTCCAGCTCGCGATCGGACTCACCAACCCGAAGACCGAGGCCACCATGTTCGGCCTCATGGCCGGGCTTGCCTTTTTCCTCGAAGCCTGCAATGGCGCCATCTTTTCTTTGGTACCTCATGTGTATCCATTTGCCAATGGTGAGCTCACTTTGAACCCTCGATTGAATGACCTTTGTGCTAATAATTATAGGTGTCGTGTCGGGTGCTGTCGGCGGTATGGGCAATTTTGGTGGAATCATCTTTGCCATCATCTTCCGCTACAATGGGTCGCACTATGCCCAATCGCTGTGGATCATCGGGGCGATCTCGCTGGCAGCGAACGTGGGCATTTCGTGGATCCGGCCGGTGGCGAAGAACCCGGTTGTGAGGCAGTAGTGTTACACTTTGTTTAGGAAAGATCTTGATGATATCTAGCCGATGCATTTCATGTCTATGTAGTAATCAATTCGAGAATGAGCTTTACTATTACTATTCTTCTGATCTTCGTTACGCCTTGCTTCCTCTGTCAAATCTGCGCTCACGTACAGTAACCCCGTCTGTTTAACCTAGATCTCATGGAGCAGCCAAAACAAATCATGGAACACAAATTCTAGAAGCCATTCACAGCAGCACACAATGCATAGATGTAGATCGGATAAGAAATCCCCGGAAGACAGCGGAAAGTCAAAGCGCAATGATGATGGCATAGCGAGTACTTTGAGTTTCGGGTCCGATTATATGAAGACCATTTGGTTGAGATAGCTACCTTTCTTGAACACAATCAAAATAACTTTGATTTTGGCTTGAATCTGAATGAATACTACGTACTACCCATCACACATTACACTGACTACAATATAAATATCTGAAATACCTACTGCCTACCAAAATGTCTCAACGTACGTCACTCCATGCCCCCAGACCCTATACCACCACCGCTACGATCACTTTGCATATGAATACTCACATCAAATATGTTATGGCATGATATAGACCACGAAAACATCTTCGACAAAATGTTTCACCACCACAAACACCAAGATACTCAGCATCATAGCGCCAGCCAAGGGGGGGAGAACGACGACGACAGCGGCAAATACCCCTCTCAGCAGAACCACTTGAATGAAGCAGGAGAGGAAAGTCAACCTTCGCATCATGGAGAGGAGGAAGGGGTTGTGAATCGATTTGAAGATTATATTAAGGAGGATGAGGAGTTGGAGAAAGAGGGGCAGACGTATGGGGGGTTGATGTAATACTTTATTTATTTACTATTTAGTTAGTTAGTTTCTTGTGTTAGATTGGGGATACTGGGGGGTAATTTATCACGATTCAGTTGACTTTTATTAATATGTTTATTTTGGGGGTTGTTAAGTAGGATGGGTTGTAGTTTGTGGTGGTATCGGTGACTAGTAACTGGCTTTGTATGGCTTTTTGAGTGAGTGCTGAAGGATGGTGTATTATTACTTTGGCGTTGATGGGTAGGGACTAATACCCTTAGTACTAGTTAGTAGTTACTAGTACTACTACTGACCAAATGGTGGTTGATGCTAACACTATAATGATATTCAGATCTTGTAGTAGAACATGAACGTCAAGACATTTACTCGTTCAAGAGCAGAAAATGCCTTGTATGAGTAGTTGATAATGCAGATGAAGCCATCACAACTATTAAGTTGTAACAGCATCTGAACAGAAACATGTAGTATCTATGTTTTGTGCTATCCTACCCTGAATCTATAACTGCTTAGTATACAAACAACTAACAACATCAAATAAAACCCATTTTTCACCACCACAACATCTAATTAGTAGTGAGTAGTGTGACCCCTCCCTCGGTCCATCCCAACCCCCAATTCGGGCCATCATCACCCCGAATCCACAAAAACATACATATACAGCAACTACTACCACCACCATACCCATCATCCTATCCTCACCTTCACAATTGAACTTCCCTTCACCTGGAACCATTGAACCAAGCCCAATCTCCCTCCCCCCAATCGACCAATTCCATATACACACACCAACAATGCCCACCCGCCGCATCGCCCAAATCGTCCACCTCAAGCCCTCCGCCATCGCCGCATACAAAGAATGTCACGCGAACGTATGGCCCGAAGTCTTACAGCAGATCAAGGAGTGTAATATTCGCGATTGTATATATCCCCCTCCCATCCCCTCCCCCATCCCCCGTCATAAACGAGGTGAAAAGTTATATATATATAATATAGAAGCAGAAGCAGAAGCAGAAGCTAATATGGGGCAATGGCTATTTGCAGACTCTATATTCTTCGATAATGAGCGGACGCTGTTCGCAACGTTCAAATATGTCGGGGAGGACTTTGACGGGGATATGCAGCGGATGAAGGCCAATCCGAAGGTGAGGGAGTGGTGGGGTTTGACGGATGGGATGCAGGTATGTTCAATCATGTCTCTACTAGTACTGATAAATTTATTATGATGGTTCAGAAGGAAGTGAAACTAATATATATTATGTGCAGGAGAGTCCGATTCCTGGGGCTATTGGAAGTGCTGAAGGTCCTGGGTGGTGGAAGGTGTTGGATGAGGTGTTCTATACTGAATAAATTGTATGAATACTCTTAAGATTGTTTCCGTCTTCACTCCTCACGAGTATAGAAATACATAAAACTACTTGACGGATCTCATTCGGATCTCATATACATGCCATGCAACAATGGGTATCTTCGCCGGGAAAATCCGTAGCCGCAAATCAGCTGCTCCAAAAACGCCGACTCCCTCTAACGCAAATATATCGGTAACCAATCGTTATAGCTCGTGCAACACCACTAAGATCATGCCAACCGCCAGGGTATAGGCAGCCCACGGTGTCGGTCTCATTCGGCGCTGCCAGGGACATCCTTCAGGATCTCCCATCCAAATTCGTCCTCTGGCCTCTCGGGCTCCATACCAAGCGCGTTGCGGTACGCCCGCACCTCATTCTGTAGGCCTGCGACAATGCGGATAGGCAGCTCTTCCTCCTCGGAGCGGAGACGGTACGCCGTCCGAATCATCTCGGCACACTTCATCGTCTGCGCATGCCAGTAGTCACGGTCTAAGCGGCTCTCCAGATGGGAGTCACGCTCCGCTTGGAGCAGATTGTTGTAATGGCGTTTCTGCGACAGATAATGCATGTTGTTATTTTGGCAGTAGTTGCGGATTTGCTCGACCATCGTCCCGAGGGTCGCCTCATATTCACCGATCAGTTTGGCGTTCTCCGCCTGCTCGGTTCGTAAAACTTCAACTAAACGTCTCTCCTTGGCGAGGGCACGCTCGAGCTCGGTAATACGGGCACCTAAGCTTGTCAGCCGCTGTTCAGAGAAAGGGAATTCCAGACGATCACTTACCGGTGATTTCCCCATTCACTTGCTGCAAAGTCGGGTTGGTACCCTCCGAACCAGACCGTTTCTGTCCCTGTCAGCCAGGTTAAACCAGACTATGAGACCTTCGTGAAAGACATACCATAATTTCCTCCGCACTAGTCACTATACTTTTCGTCATTTCGCGATTGTTCTTCAACACGTCGCTCAACTCCAATACCATGTCGTAGAGATGGTGCAGATCCATCTGATGGCCCGCGTTCATAGGAACTCCACCGTTCATACCAGGCATTCCGCCGCCGTTGACCTGAGCTGGTGGATGAGGCATCGCAGGCGACATCGAGGGACGAGGAACATTGGGCATGCCCGAAGCACCGCCAGAATTATCGCCGTAGCTGGCAAACATGGCCGACCCAGGGCTGCTGCCCGTCATGCCCCCACTGCTGTTCATCGACATGTTTGCGGAGTCAAAAGCGTTGTTTAATGCGTTGAACTCGGGATCGACAGCAGGATTCGGTTTAGGGAGGTTATGGTCGTCGTCAAAGCCGAACCCAGAGGACTCCAAACCCAACACTTCTGTTCTGAATTTCTCAAGGTCACGACGAGTAACGTGGGTGGAACGGCGGCGATGCCCACGCACAAAGGGTGCCTTGGAATCAGGGGAAGGCGTAGACGCGCTGATGATGCCGGGTGAAGAAGGCTCACTTTTGCTGTAGCTGTTGTGGTGCGCGGTCGGGGTTAAATCGTCAAGATTGGGAAAAGGAACCGTTGCGGTGAGAGCAGCAGACAATGGGGAAGCAGCAGGTAAAGCTGGGCGATGAGGGTCATCCACCTCGTCCTGATAGTGAACCGTGGCCGCGGAGAAGCCAAAACAGTCAAGCGTCGGAAATTCGGAAGATTCCAGCCGAGCACCAGCCTCGGCAGCGCCACAACTTGGGGCGGTGGCCGCACCAGAATTCTCCATGATAGCTAGTAAGTAGCTAGTTAAACCTGGGTTATGCCAAAAAGGGATGAAGTCAAAAAACAAAAAAGTGTGGTGAATGTAAAACAATAAGAGGAAGGGAAATCGATGGGTAGAAAAATAAAAATGTGGGAACCAGTGAAAAGAGAAGGAACAGAGCAGCTGCTTCTCCTTCTGCTTCTGCTGCTGCTGCTGCTACTCTGTAAGTAGTAGTAGTCCCAAAAACAACTGTTTGGCTCTCGTTCTTCTCCCTCCTTCCTGTCACTGGCACTTTGCTATGATCGTTGCAGCCGCAGTCAATCGTCGGGTTCCCCCCTTGCAACTTCTCAAAGTTCCGGTAATTGCATGGGAAATCCCTCTAATTATAGCTGCCCAAAGGAGACCTGCGGCGTAGAGTCAAGAAATTGAGATCTACTGATTGATTATCCAGTTGCAATGGTTTTCATGCATCTGTGCGACCTCTTTTGCCGGCAATGCCGCATCCTCAAAGCTCCAGAGGCTATGTATGTATGTATGAAGGCGCAACACTCTCATAAGTGTAGGCAAGGCATGCAATTTAGGTATTCGGGCATCCTTCCATTCCATTCAATGCATGAAGTCATTCTAGCCGGGCCCTTTCTCTCTATTTGTCATCACGTCATGTCCAATAAGGCATCTAGTTTCTGGTCGCACCCCAGATACGGCTTGTCCTGCTCCTGAGCGCCCAGTTTCTTTTTCCCCTGTTCGACTCGGCCGCCAACTCGCGCAACCAGCATCCTCATCTTATCTAACTCCTGGACTAGCTCGCCATCTCTCGTCACCAGATTAGGCTGGATATGCTTCTGCGGTTCTCGGAACGGCTCCAGTAATTGCTGCAGCTGTCGTAATTGATCCAGGCGCCGTTGTCGTTGTTGCCGTAAACGATCCAGGTCCGTAAGACGCTCCCGTAGTTCTTGGTATCTGTTTCACAATTAACCAGCTGAAACTGTGATCGGTGCAAGAGGTATCCCAGACCTAGCTCGCTGTTCTTCGCTCGCGGATTGGTCTTCTAGCTCCAATGGGAGTTGCGCGATATTCCTGCGACATTAGATCTATCCGCTTTCCCAGCAACGAAAGTCCGAGGCTCACATATGACTGGACAGATCCACCGATCTCTCCACCCCTTTTATCAGAGACCCTGGGTTGTGTATTGCCTGGGTCACCGACGACCAGTATAGGCTGGTGATTTGCTGGGCGACATGTTGAACCGCTTGGGAGGAATAGACGATGCGACTGTGTTGTTTCAAAGCGGCGTTTACTGGTGTCCCATAGACTCGTTAGAAACATATGCAAAAGGAAGAACGATATGCTTATTAACCACAGTGCACGATGAGTGATCATGTGCAGTAACTCCGGGATAGTATGCGTGAAGGTTCAATCCTGGATGCTTGCACTTACACTTTTGCAGAACATCACCGACCACCTTATCACTAAGATCATCCTCTTCGGTCTCAGCGGCATAATTTCGCCAATCTTCGGGCGGCTCAAGGCCTTCGGATAGTATTCGGACTTGCGCCCTGATAAATGACGACTTCAACTCGGAGATGGTACGAGTAGATTCCATGACTCCATAGTGAGGGATTCTGATCGGCTCAGAGGATAAAAGAGGACCATCGCGATTCGGCTTCACTGAAACGCGTCCGGCGCTATCGATAAGCACACACGTGACGGATACGCAGTGTCCCCTTCCGCCAACCTGCCATCCATCGTCAATCATCACCAGAGATTGGAGTCAACAATCTCCTTGCGTCTTGATGATTTGTACGTTTCATGCCGCTAATATTGCAGGGCTTCTGCGGCGCAGGTTTGGCCTTTAGGGTCTGGAATTCCCCTGCAGCTTTCATTGCCTCGGACCTTGATTGTAAACCATAAGCAACAACCGATCTGTCGTATCTAACCTCGGTAACTTGGGACCCCAGGTCTGGGCTTCTACTACTCCGCCAAAGAACAAACATCAAGCGACATCTTCGTCTTACCTCTAGGTCACCTTTGTCTCTGCTATCCCTGCCCATCTACTGTCTTCCCAGAACCTCTACCGATTAGTGTATCACCAATATGGCTGACAACCAACGGCCGATAGGCCTGCTGTTCGACATTGGAGGAGTGTGTGTAAGGCTGCGCGATTGCCCAACCCAGAGATAATAGTCTGTTAATAAAGCTGCAGGTTGTCTCTCCCTTTCAGGCTATTCTGGACTATGAACTGGCCCACAACATTCCCCCAGGATGGGTGAACTTCAGTATTTCTCGTACCTCGCCAAACGGCAGCTGGCACAGACTCGAGCGCGGAGAGATCAAGATGGATGCCGAGTTCTTTAAGGAATTTAACAAGGATCTACGAAACCCCGACCTTTGGAAGACGTTTCACGAGAGACTTCAGAAACAGCGCCCGGATAGTGCGCCAACATCGGTTCCTCCATTACCCGCCCTGGACGCAGAGTTCCTCTTCTGGGAGATGATGAGGGTGTCTAGGACGCCGGATCCATATATGTTCCCTGCCCTGAAAAAATTGAAGCAGTCGGGAAAGTTCGTTATGGGAGCTCTGTCAAACACAGTGATATTCCCCGATGGACATCCATACAACACAGACATCGATGACAAGAAGTCGCAATTTGACTTCTTCATTTCATCTGCGCATACCGGTCTCAGGAAACCGGACGGGAAAATATATCAGGTTGCGCTGCAAGAGATGGAAAACGTAGCAAGGAAGAAGGGTCTAGGCGGTATTCGCCCGTCTGACATTGTGTTCCTTGATGACATTGGAGAGAACCTTAAGGGCGCAAAGAAAGCTGGCATGCGAACCCTGAAGGTTAATCTGGGACGGACCCAGGACGCTGTGAAGGAGCTGGAGAGAATGATCGGCCTTCAGTTGCTAGAAACTCCAGAAAAACCCCGGCTGTAAATAGTTTGATTTGGCCAGCTAGTAAGATCATATTCGGACAGCCTACAAATTCATAACTATAAGGTTTTTCCAAATAAAATTGTTGAAAGAGAAGAGTTGGGAGTTGGTTATGTTGGTTGGGAGTACGGAGTAAGTGGTGGTACATACTTCGGTCCTTCAGCCCGCTCGTGGCCAACCGCAGTCTGGCGCCGGGATGCAGCCACGCTAAGCGAAGCCTTCCACAAAAGACATCCCACGAAATTTCCCATCTCTTCCTTTGCAGCCACCGTCGACCACCCCCGTCATCAACCAGCGGCAACCGTCAAAATGGTGAGTTTTGCTGTAATTCTCAAGTGACTGGGAACCGACTTCGTCGCAAATTCCCCCGTCGCCTGAACGAAAATTTCAGGTCATCCCACATGGGCGACCGCACTGTGGGATTGGAAACGGGTCTTTGCAAGATGCTTCGGACGGTCTTTCTCTGAAGCGCAAATTGCTGACTCGACTGTCTCTTGTAGCCTTTCCACAAGCTCGTCAAGAACAGCGCTTACTACAGGTAAGAAATTTATACAAGACTCCTCATTTCGTCAAAAGTTGTCCTGGAGCTAACAAATTTTTTCTCTCTACAGCCGCTACCAGACCAAGTACCGTCGTCGCCGTGAGGGTAAGACCGACTACTATGCCCGTAAGCGCTTGATCACCCAGGCCAAGAACAAGTACAACGCCCCCAAGTACCGCCTGGTCGTCCGCTTCACCAACCGCGACATCATCACCCAGATCGTCTACTCTGAGATCTCCGGTGACAAGGTCTTCGCCAGCGCCTACTCCCACGAGCTCAAGCGCTATGGCATCACCAACGGTCTGACCAACTGGGCTGCCGCCTACGCCACCGGTCTCCTCCTTGCCCGCCGTACCCTCAAGAAGCTCGGCCTGGATGAGCAGTTCCCCGGTGTCGAGGAGGCCGATGGTGAGTACACCCTCACCGAGGCCGCTGAGACCGACGAGGGCTCCCGCCGCCCCTTCAAGGCTTTCCTTGATGTCGGTCTTGCCCGTACCTCCACTGGTGCCCGTGTCTTCGGTGCCATGAAGGGTGCCTCCGACGGTGGTATCTTCGTTCCCCACTCCGAGAGCCGCTTCCCCGGTTTCGACATCGAGTCTGAGGAGCTCGACGCTGAGACTCTCCGCAACTACATCTTCGGTGGCCACGTCGCTGAGTACATGGAGGGTCTTGCCGACGACGATGAGGAGCGCTTCCGCTCCCAGTTCCACAAGTACCAGGAGGCTGGTGTTGAGGCTGGTGACATTGAGGAGCTCTACACTGAGGCCCACAAGGCCATCCGTGAGGACCCCTTCAAGAAGGACGAGGATGCTGGTGAGAAGAAGACCAAGGAGGAGTGGAAGGCCGAGAGCAAGAAGTTCCGTCCTCAGCGCCTCACCCGCGAGCAGCGCAAGGAGCGTGTTGAGCAGAAGATCCGTGAGCTTGCTGCTTAAATGTCGGACTTCTGAGGCCGATCGTGCTTGATGGTTTTTACCACACCCAAAAAAGAAACTATGAGTGCGATAGTCAAAAAAGTTTGATAATTCTCTTTGAAATATAGGGGAATTAAGGTTCTTCTTGCCCACTACTACTACTTCTTTTTTTTGTGATATCCAGTAGTCTTGATGAAATCTTCATGACCGGAGTTTATATGGCAGGGTTGAGTTTTTATGCGTTCGGAGCAATCAAGGAACGCGCACAATGGGATATTAATTGACCATCTAAGAGGTGCTCCGGTAAAATGGCAGTGTAGACACTAGACACAACTTGTAGAAACCACATTAATAATTGCCCGCTATACTAGTGTCACAGTGGACCATCATCATAAACCCCCCGCCATCCTTCAACCGTCTTACATTTTCAGTCCAAGTGGATTAATCCATCGATGGATTGTTCGAAGACCCCTCTCGGATATGTGGGGGAACGAACAAGCAGCAAAATTTCGGTAGCCCAAAAGCATTGTGCAACCCTCAAGGAGCATCTTTCCGGTCTGGGTAACATGCATCGTACACTAATCCTTATTCGGCCTAGCCCTGAAGCCCTAACTGCCATTCATGTGCCGTCACTCTCGGAACATGTTGCTCTGTCCGGCCAATTGCTTCGAGATGATGAGGCTGGCTGGATAGTACTTACTCCTCGGAGAATGTAACCTGTACCATTTGTTTGTCTGATGGGGCCATGGAGAAAATTTTCTGTCTGCATCGAACTAATGTTGTTGTTTTGACGCAGTCCATGACGAGTTGATATTTCTAAACGAATGCGGATGCTTCGGCATGATTGTACGAAGACATTGCTTGCTACTGGTTACTTACTAGTGGGTTGATTAGGCACTTGTTGGTGGTTGATGGCAGACACCAACAACAGCAACAACGACCCAACCCGAGTAGATCGGACGCTACTGTGTAGTGCTACCAACTAAGTAGTAAGTATACTTTGTAGGCGGGTAGATATCCAGCCCCAGGCTTAATCTGATGAATGAGTGAATGACATGTCATTCCTTAAGCGAGAGAAAGAAACTGGCAGATGACATCATCCGACTTTCTACTTAAGCATATTCTGCGCAAAGATCATCCATGCTTTCAGGCTGATCAGTGTAACACCGTATGACATTTCATCCTTCTATTCAGTCTTCAAGCCTCATACGTCGAAGCTAATATTCGCCGTTCAAAGTACGTACTAACTAACTTGGCTACTTTGAGCAAGGATGGCAAAAAGAAAGGTTGCACTTTGCTGGTTAGAGTGTATGATCAACATGTTCTCCTCTCGGGTTCCATAAAGTGGATCACGTTAAGTTCAATGGATCAAGGCACCACGTACTATGGGAACATGGGTTATCATACTCCGTTATTCGGGTTGTTTAATTTGCCATCGGGCTCGAGACTTTGGATCTTCGGTTTGCTTTCATTCAGATGGCTCGGAGAAATAAACTTACTATCTTATGATTGTGTCCGCTGAGAGGGCCAGGAGTGATGATCATGATGGGCGTGTGGTGAGAACGCCACTCGAAAGGGAAACTGAAGAGCGGGACCTTGAGATGCCAGTAGTGGGTAGATGCTGGAGAAGGTATTACTACGTAGAGTGTTAAATAAGGAGATCGCTCGCGTGGCTTATCATTCGATCAGTTCTTGCTGTTGGACAGACATGAACTCATTACTAAACTATATTATTAACCAGAACAAGAGATCTAAGCAGTTGTGGGATCGCAGTCGATCGGGTCAGGTGCTAAAAAGAGGAGTATCTAGAACCTATCACGTACACACACACACAATGCAGAAGGTATACGAATGGCGAGATGAACAACGCACACGAAAATTATCTACTCACTCCATACACGGTACCCATAATTACTTTCTGGTAGTTCTAGTGTCGGCGCTGAATGCGACCATCAGCTCCAAACGAACGGTACTAGCCCGCCCAGGTTTAGGATTATCTGGAAATCGATGATTTGCGGGTTCGCGTACGCACTTGTAATTTCAGCACCGGTTGAGGGTGGGCTTGGCAAGGTGTCGTGTGAGTGGTTGTCCTCCAATTCTCCTCGGCAAACAAATCAGGCGGAATATGCGGAAAACACAACGTGTGGAAAGTGGCAAGAAGACTCCCCCGTCAGTCCATTTTTGGGGAGTGGGAAAGGACAAAAAGGGTCATCATTCGATGCAGGTATCGGCTGAGGATATCATCAGTCGATACCTTTGTATTTTTTGGATCTTAAGTACTTCTGTAATGTGTGCCGGGTGCAGGACCAAAGCGCAATGCTAAGGTTGCTTTTAGTGAGAGAAGAGTCGACAGGGGAGCCAAAGTACTTCTCCGTAGACGGAGGGGGAGAGGACAGTGTAAGAAACGGTCACAAGTACCCCGTTTCTAATACCGTCTAGTAATTTCTCCGCAACGGACTCGAGTATGTAATCGCCGAACTCCCCACTGGCGGGAATCATGCTATGCCCACTAGTCCCAGTTGAGCCACTTCCCTCCTCATCCCGATCGCCTTCAGTTCAACTGGTCTGCTTTGCCCGCAACCCTTTTCTGTCCCTTCTCTCCCTTTTCCTATTCTAGACCCTTTCGAAAACTACTAGTTTTCCCTCTCCTCCTTGACATTCCCATCTTTCATTGCATTCCCCTTTCCCCCCTCGTCATATTCTTCTCACCCCTTTTGACGTCGCTCGTCTTAAGTTCTTGTCCCCGTTTCTCCGCTGTGTCACCATGTCCGCAGTACTTCGCCGCAGTACCATAATGGAATGTACCCACCGTCACCGTTCTTAATCATCCGCTGGCTGAAACTGTGATTTTGCATTCTCGTCGCGAGCCATAGTAGATCTGTCGGATCATTCTATTTTGGACTACTCGTGCAGCGATATAGCCTCCGAAATACGATCTGTATCCACTATCGCGCCAACTGGGTTCAGCTTTCGCCTGAGGACCGCCGCTTCGCTATTCATCAGCGAGCTGACGTCGTCTCTCTTACAACTGTTTTATCTAGTATACTGTGATTGATTCGCATACGGACTCAAAATGGAAGGGATCGAGACTGTGGATGTCAGCTGGCTGCATCACTCGCAAAAAGGTAAGCCGGACGTCGCTCAATTGCTACCATATCTACTCTGGTGGACCTCTCCTAACTCGATCGCAAGACCATCTGTCGCGCTGTAAGTCGGCATCATCAGTGGTTAGCGATAGGTCTGTCGCGGATTCAGATGTCACATATGCCCAAGAACGAAGTCTCGAAAAACCAAGCACTACCGATAATAACTCTTCAGCATCAGCCCCCCTCACTCCTACCTTATCTAAGGGTTCGTCACAAGAAGATGGTGCGAAGGCCACGAAGGAGGTCAAGAATGAAGACAAGTCAGTGGAGGGAAAGCCTACTGGCACATCGCCAGCTACTCCGAAAACCGCGCCTAGGCCGGTTACCGGACGAAGGAACTCGTGGATATCGACCCTGAGCTCCAAGTTTTCCTCTGGTTCTACTCCACCGTCGCAGTCGAATATGAAGGCACAGCAGAGCCCGAAGGCGACCTCTCCTGTTTCGAAAATGGACATGCATAATCCTTTCGGTGCGGCGTATTCCCCAAAGGACAAGGAAGAAGAGAGGGCGAACGAGAATAGCCCTTTCGCCTCAACATCTCCGAAAGGTCCTTCGTTCCTTCAGAGCGCCTTCCGGAAACTTTCGTCATCCGCATCTGGTGGCACTGGTAAAGCCGCTTCTACTGGGACGATCTGCCAACGTCGCGTAATGAATATCGATCCGGATCGAGATAGGTGCAAGATCCCGGACCTAAATCCTGCCAAATTGCGTCGTGTCGCTTTCTGTGTGGATGTGGAGATCGCTGGGATATCCTACCGAGAATCGGATGAAGACAGCCCACCAGCAAGTAGTAGGCGACGTCCTGTCCCAGAGGTTAACAACCAAAAGTCCAAACGATCGCATATCAAGTCGAAAGAGAAGGAGGAAGCTGCAGCGTTGAAGAATCCTCAGGCTGTGGTTTCTTCAAAGGACAAGAGTAGCCCAACAAATGGGGCGGACGGGAAAAGTCCTGGGTCACCAGACATACCGCCAGCCGAAGCGAATGCCAATGGCGAGGCAAAAGAGCCAACACGAAAGCAGGAGAAGAAGAAGAGGTCAGAAGAAGAAAGGCGTGAGCGCAGGGAAAGAAGGCGCAGACAGGCAGAAGCAAATGGCTCCATACCCATGCAACTTACAGCCGACGGCCAAGAGTATGGCTGCCGAACACCTGCGTCTAACACGAGCCGAACCAAGACACAGAGTCATCCAACGACAGATCCTGTGCGGATATATAGACGCTGTTGTCAACTGCGCGAGACGCCTGTGCTCAAGCGTATCGTTGACGAGATCTCATCACCTTCCTCTACGTTAGCCGAGTCTCCAGGAACCGTGGCCGTGCTTGACCTCAGCGACTTCCCTATGACGGCCGAGGATATTGCTACTTTCTGCGATTGGCTCGCTGTTGTGCCCGTTAGAAAGCTCATCATTGAAAGATGTGCTCTGACTGACGACTCGGTGCGATCTATTCTCGCTGCACTACTTTCCACTAGAACTGTGGAACAGATGATGCAGCGGCGTAGAAAGGGAAAGAAGGCAGAGGTGGTGTCTTCGGAGAAAGAACAGCGGTTCAGCGTCGTTGAGAAGGTGTCGCTGAAAGATAACCCCAAAATCGGACCAGAGGGATGGCGTCATATCTGCCTATTCGTCCACCTATCAAAATCCTTGAAGGCAATTGACTTGTCTGGCATTCCTCTTCCCAAGACACCCATTACTGTCAGTTGCTCCAACAAAGGAGCCTCGCAAAACCAGAACGTCACCAACGTAGCAACCCTCTTCGCGAATTCGCTCGCACAACGCTTTGGCGGGGACCATCTGGAAGAATTGCTGCTGAGCGAATGCCGACCTACGACCGAAGATGTGAAGAAGATTTGTGATGCAGCCACCACTCTTGGCTTGAGGAGGCTTGGCTTTGCCAATAACGAGCTGAGCAGAGAAGGTCTGGAGCACATCGTTGATTATCTCAAAGCAGGAAAATGCGAGGGGCTAGATCTGGGTGGGAATCCCATTCAAGACCAGTTGGACTTGATCATATCTTCTTTCACGGAAGACCATCCGTTGTATGCTCTTAGCTTGGCTGACTGTTCCCTTACGCCTTCCACCGTCTACCCCCTGTTCCAAGGATTGACAAGATTGCCGGACCTTCGCTTTGTCGATTTCTCC